GAAACCAATTGCCGAACTGGAAAATATTGTTATGGGTACTCATTTCCAGTTCAAACCAATAAAAAGTGCAACTGGAACCAGTAAGGTAATTTTTCCAGTTACTCAATTGGTTCCAGTTAGAAGTCATTTCCAGTTACCCAACTGGTTCCAGTTAGCATTCATTTCCAGTTAGAAGTCATTTCCAGTTACCCAACTGGTTCCAGTTAGAATTCATTTCCAATTACCCAATTGGTTCCAGTTAGAAGTCATTTCCAGTTACCCAACTGGTCCCAGTTAGCATTCATTTCCAGTTAGAAGTCATTTCCAGTTACCCAACTGGTTCCAGTTAGAATTCATTTCCAATTACCCAATTGGTTCCAGTTAGAAGTCATTTCCAGTTACCCAACTGGTTCCAGTTGGCATTCATTTCCAGTTAGAAGTAATTTCCAGTTACCCAACTGGTTCCAGTTAGAAGTCATTTCCAGTTACCCAACTGGTTCCAGTTAGAATTTATTTCCAGTTACCCAACTGGTTCCAGTTAGCATTCATTTCCAGTTAGAAGTAATTTACAGTTACCCAACTGGTTCCAGTTAGAATTCATTTCTAGTTACCCAATTGGTTCCAGTTAGCATTCATTTCCAGTTAGAAGTAATTTCCAGTTACCCAACTGGTTCCAGTTAGAATTCATTTCCAGTTACACAATTGGTTCCAATTGGAAATATTTCCAGTTACCCAACTGGATCCAATTGAAACCAGTTAATTTGCATATTATCTGCTTGTGTGCAGATCAATGTTTTATGTAATTTATTTTGATTTACAATGTACTTATTAATTAATTTTCATTTGCAAGTAATGCATTTGTTTTAGATAAATATAAAGATTAATTATAGCAATGATAAGCATGTTCATTAGTAACATATTTTTGTAATTACACAGATTAAAAATTGATTAGTAAAACACTAACCATGTACAAAATACATCAAATAGAAACATATATAATGGCAATGCCTTCCTTGTTAAGTATATTATATGATCTGCATATTATAATGCCCTTTACATTGTACTTAATTGTACATTGTACTTAATGTAGACACATATAACAATGCTTCTGTGTTGACATGAGCGATAATTAGTGCACGAGCTAATTAACTTATAACTAATTAAGTTTATGCCAACTGTAAGTTTCAATTGGATCCGGTGTACTTCCCCAGGACCAAAATCCAGTTGAAACCAATTGAAACCAGTTGAAACCAGTTGAAACCAATTGAAGCCAACTGGTTTCAATAGGGAAATTGGAACAACTGGTTCCAGTTGAAACCATTTAGGCAACTGGAACCAGTTGGCAATTGGTTTCAACTGGTTTCGATTGGAACCAGTTGGCAACTGGTTTCAATTGGAACCAGTTGTTCCAATTTCCCTATTGAAACCAGTTGGCAACTGGTTTCAATTGGTTTTGCTCCAATTGGTTTCAACTGGATTTTGGTCCTGGGAAAGTGACAGAGAGAACGAAGTAAAGAGTACGCAAACACACCCCTTAATTCTAAAAAATAGTTCACACATTACTATTACAACTCTTCAAAGGCTTATGCCAATGGCCGACCTAAAAAAAGGTGACCTTACCCCCCCCCCCCCAAACGGAACAAAAGTGTCCTCTTAACCCACCCCCCCCCCCGATTATTCAGCGGCTGGCTGAGTCGTTGCGAAATTTTGGGCCCGATTTTAAACCCCCCCCCCCCCCTTGAAAAAACTCACGTTTGTTTTACCTTGCAAGGTTGACAGTTATGAGGAAGTACCCTATCAATTTTGATCCCGATTAATTTTCAAACATTTGAAAATTAAGGAAATAACTTAATAATGATTACAAACGGATAATCGCTACTGAAGGGGGTAATTCATAGCACTGCTTTGTTTTGCAGGGAAATGATCGGTAGACTATTATCTGAAGTTCAGGTTTGAAATAACAGCCCCAAAACATGACAAAAATCACAAGACATTCATACTAAAACTGGAACATCAGTGTCCTAAATTACCTGCAAGGAAAAAGTAGGGGAAAGGATATGGATTTGTGTATCTTGTGGGTACCATTGATAGCACTAGACTATAATTGGGTACAATATCACCGATATTCATCTCGGTATCATTACAAGAAGACGACAATCTATTTCCTTCCATTCTTTTTATGTTGGAAAATGTTTTATGAATCAACATCTTAATTTCATATATGCAATGGATTGTAAAATTCTGAGTGCATTGGTGTAAGACTCTGATAAACACTTATTCTGTTTAATATGCATAAAGGTGTGAAGCAATACAAAAAATAAAAACAAAAACAAAACCATACAAGACACATTTATTTCAAATTTTGTTTTATTTTATTCATGAAAGTTAAATATGTCATTATTAATATCATCACATTATGTGATACAGCAATAAATATTTATGCTGCCTTGTACATCAAAAATCGCATCAAATTAGGAAAGAATTGCATCAAAGGATTACATCTTAATGTTAGAGGAGGGCATATAGCCGGGTTTTGGGGGGGGGGGTGTATTTGTCTGTGTGTGTGTGTGGATAAGCATGTGGGTGTGTGTGGGGGTTAGCGTGTGGGTGTGCATGTGGGTGCAAAGCAACACATTCTGGGAAAGATACAAACACTGTATCAATAATGAAAAATCAATATTAATTTTACTAAACGTGTCCCCTTAATAATAACTAACAGTATCCCACATGTTTAGCCAACTGATGAAGAAATGGTTTGCACTTGAAACAATTCAAACTTGGATATACATTGTTCAGATGAGAGAAAATGGTGCTAAGGTAGTGACTTCAATGCTAGATGTACAATTCAAGATAATCTGAAAACTGAGTGAAAACAGACCATTATTAATGAAATTGGGAAAAACTGATCGATTCCTATATTCTCCAACTATATTATTAAATTCTAATAAAATTGTAGGTGAAGTAAATCCTCACAAAGCAATGAATTGGCTATATATACCGTTCCAAACATTTGACTGATTTCTAAAAGCCTTTTCATGGAAAAACAGTTAGGAAAATTAAAAAAATTGGTTGGGAGAATTTTCTGTTAGATGGGGTTGACCATCAACGCCTTCAAAGAAAACCATAACTATATTTGTGGTTCGAGAATTTTTTCAGGATTTTTTGCATGTTAGATATTTAGTACATTCAAGGAATATAATAAGTAACATTTCCTACAAAAATAACAGTTTTTTCATCAACTATCACCAATGTTACCGGTTCACTTTAAACAAATGTTCCTTTTATATTTCTCTATTAATTCATCATATCTGACTTTTTTTAAATTTGAATTTTGTCAATATCACAGGTACGATTAAATCCTAAAATCTTGTATTTTTTACCAGCTTTAAACTTGAGACGGGTGTTCATCGTAATTTGATTATCAAACAGTGGTCTAACAACTAAAATTTTGAATTATTTCACAGTAACATTGAATTAACATTTCATTTCCAATAACATTAAAAAAAGTAGTTTTACATTATTTTGTCACATCATCTGGTTTAAAAACAAAAATGACAAAAAGCAAATAAATTCATAGCTCAGGATTCTGAGGTACATTCTGTGAAGTAGAAAATACTGTCTGCCGAGTGGATATGTCACCGGACTGTAGATCACAAGGTCCGTGGTTCAAGTCCCACCGCGGCACTATGTCCTTTGGCAAGGCATTGATCTACATTTGCCATTCTCCACCCATGTGTTAAATGCATGGGTACCCAGTGGGATGCGAAAGCTAATGTGATAAGATTAGCAAGTGCGCACTTGCAAAAATGACGCCTGCATGGCTGGAATGCTCCCCAGGGAGTGGATAATGTGCATACATTGTGTGAGGGTAAGCCTGCATCCGATGATAATATGATTGCAGGTCGGGCCCTCAGGGAGAACAGTATGAATACTGATGAGGCTACAAGACATATTATTATTATTATTATTATTATTATAATGCCTTTTTGGCTTTCGGCACACCAAAGACAGTATATAATTTGCAGCAATATAATAACTCTCTTCTCATTCTATAAATTCTTGTCTAATTATGATTCTGATAATTTGAACGCATCACAGATTTTACAGAGTAGAGAAGCACAATGTCAACTATAGCATGTACTTAAAAAAAAGATTTATACACCCAAAATCTTAAAGCAAAATTTTGCGATGGTCAAATAGTGCATGCTATACTGTCTTTCCTTGATTTTATATGCCAGACAGATTGACTAATGTACTCATGGAGTTAACTATTACTTGCATTTTACTTCCAAATACTACCCGGTATTCAGGTACTCATTCTTGCTATCACATACCCAGTATATCAAAGCATTAATCTCAGATTATTTGGTCCAAGTCACACGGGTGACATTGCTTCATAGAGCTACCTACACAATGGTGATCGAACCCCATAATTTCCATCTTTTTTCTCACTGAAAGGCGTTTCTCATCTCTACAAGATTTCTCATCTATACAGCTGTACATCCATTAGCTGTATCGATACCAAAGCTCGTTCAACAAAAACTTCTTGTCTGTGTACATACCATTGACTGTGCATGCATCAACCTACAGTCCATTAATCTTCATTTCATGAAGAAGAAGAAGAAGAGAAGGTTTTTCTTCTTCTTCGTTTGCTTTGATCGTCATCAAGTACAGTGAGGTTCCATTATAAAAACAGTTCAATAAGTAGCTCTCTTTTGAGCTGAAACTATATGTCTCTTGTTCAATTCAGGTATAGTCATTCAGCAGATTGTGGTTCTTTAATTGTGATCATCAAGCACAACGTGGCTCCATGATAAGCACAGGGGGGTGTTTCACAAAGATCATCAGTCGCACTTAACATTATGGAGAGCCATTTGTAGCCTTAAAATTATATATATATATATATATATATATATATATATATCAAGAACACAAAGTCTCCTTGACAATAGAAAATATGAATGATTTGAATCAACATTTTATACCTTTTAAAATATACTTATACAAAATATTTTCAAAGATGCTAACGGCTTTCCATAATTCTTAATTAAGTCCAACTTAGAGATAAGTTCAACTTAGGATTTTTATGAAACGACCCGGCCCAGATCTTTAAAACTGGATGATTCATTTTGTTCATCATATGCAAGTCTCTCTCTTTTGAGCTCAAATGCCTCCTAGCTCCCATTCACTTCAGGTGGTCTTCACTGAGGTCATTGCTCCATGCTACCAGGTCATCGACCTCCTTCTCCCATGCATCTTCTGTTTCGCTGGGGGCCGTCGATGGAGGGGGAACTGTTCATGTCAGATAAAACAAAACAGTGAAGTCAGTCTGTTAGAATCTAGAATATGTCATGTGTACATCATACATTGTGAAGCAAACTGCGACCTGAGTTATAAGAAGTACCGGTAGATCTTTTCTAAATAAGGACTTCTGCTGAAATACTAGTAACAATACCAGTAATGCAGGTGTCATTTGTAAGATGCACCTTTTGACCCCCGGGGATGGTGCGTCATGGTTGCGTCATGTTCCCCAAAATCGCGACGCACAGTACCGTCATGGCCGCAAAATGTCCGTCACAATACTGACCCATATGTGCGTCATAGTAAGTCACTTTACCACGTTGCGTCATTTGGTGTGTCAATGGGACCGTCACTTTCTCCAAGCAGAAGTGTTTCTCAAATGTGCGTCATTGGCTAGTCATTTTCATGAAATGGTGTGTCATATGTTTGACTCAAATGTGCGTCGATGGAATGTAATGGTGTGTCACTTTCTGTGACGGAAGGTGCGTCATGGTATCAAATTAATGTACGACTCACATCGGTACAATGACGCACCATTCCCGGGGGTCAAGAGGTGCGTCTTACAAATGACAAGTGCATAATCATTACAAACATATTATTAAGGCAATATGCCTATATTTGCCTTTCGTATGTATAACTTGCAAATACTTGCATGTATATGTAAATATATATAATAATAATAATAATAATAATAATAATAGCCTAATAGTCCACTCCAAATTTTATTAAACCGAAACGGAAATTCTTTTTGCCCAATTGATCGTGAGCCCGGCAGCCACTGAGCAGCGCCGGATCGACGTTGCTCTATCCCTTATTGTCGAACGCCAAACAAGGTAGCAACAACTCCCATCTTTTAACGTCTTTTGGTATGACGCGGCCGGGGTTCGAACCCACGACCTCCCGGTTGTGAGGCGGACGCTCTACTGACTGAGCCAACACTCCGTAATATATGTCCATAAATTATATTGCCCGTATTCTTAATCTTAATTAAGTTAGAAGATATTCCTAAGGTCATGAATGAAAAGAGCAATAAAGTGGCATCAAAGAGTGAACTCCATCCTGGATGCTGACATCACATGATGATATTTGTATCATTATGTATCCTTTGAGGGTAGTCATACTATCAAGCTTTGCTTATTTTGTCAACCCTCCTGTTTGATGTTCTCGATTAGTTATACCCAGCCTTACTTTATTCTACATATATTCTTTTGTCATGTGTAAATTTGCAATATTTGTTTGTTATATATTTGTAAAAATGCAAAAGAAAAAGAAAATCAAACAGAAATAAATAAATAAAATCAAATTAAAATTAAATGATGATGATGATGGGGGTGGTGGTGTGGTGGTGGTGGTGGTGGTGATGATGATGGTGGTGGTGGTGGTGGTGGTGGTGGTGGTGGTGGTGGTGGTGGTGATGATGATGATGATGATGAGGGTGGTGATGATGATGATGATGATGATGGTGGTGGTGGTGATGATGATGATGAGATGAGGGTGGATGATGATGAGGATGGTGGTGGTGATGATGATGGTGATGATAATGATGAGATGAGGGTGGTGATGATGATGATGATGGTGATGACGATGATGATGATGGTGATGATGATGATGATGATGATGATGGTGGTGATGATGATGGTGATGATGATGGTGATGATGATGATGATGATGATGATGATCATGATGATGATGTCTTTCATAATAGCATTGACATGTTACCAATTAATCAGTGTTGAAATGACACGTCCACTTGAAAATTAGTAAGCGAACCAACCTTTTTGCACACAAAATACCTAACCTACACATTCGATCAATTCATATTTCATTGATACGAGTCATAAATTGATATCAAACTGACCTGTTCTTTTCGGAAGGTATATCTTTCTCATTTTATTGATGTGATCCAATCTCTTATCCTTGCCATCAGGCTCCTTGTTAGACTGTTTGGGACCAAACTTACCATACATCAAAGAATTATGCCTGAAATGGAAAGAAATGAGAATGAGAAAATCATAAAGAAACCCTATACAGAGCAATCATATAATGTACATCATGCAAGATGACAAACATGAGAAAGAAAGGTTTCAAATTATCAAATTCTATAGTAGCTAGATGAAGTTCATGGTAATTACTTTGCAAACATAAAATTTCTGCTTTCTTTTGACATTTCTTGCAAAACGATGAATCCTTGTTTGATCTTGAGACTGGCAAGCATTGAATTGTGAAAGAAACGTGGAATCGATCAGAAAAGGTTGATCATCTAGCATATAAGTATTGGTGTGTACTTCAAGGTTCTGGAATCATCAAAATGATAAGAAATTTGGCCCATGCAGTCTTCGTAAAGTTACAAGCACTGTACGCAGAAACATGTATATGGGACTACGTACACCTGCGTGACACATATGTGTTTATCTCTCACAGTCCAATAAATAAACTAATTTACCAAATATATCAATTAGTAGGCGGTTTCCCGGCAAAATTGTTATCATCATGTATTAGTCAAAACATATTCTTTCACATGATTGGTAATAAGAGCTTCCATTTCATTTTTTGAAATTGGGGCATTTCTAAAACTGGTCTTTACCTTTAAAAGCTATCTCTAATAAATAAAAGTGCCTTCCTTTGAAAATAGTGCTATATAATATGCATTACTATAAAGACTGCATTGTTAAATATATCGGTATAGAGACATAAGTACAGCATCCTCAAACAAAATTGATGCATGCAATTCTTCATCTCCAAAAACATATCTCATTTATCCAAAAGCATGCTTTCTATGCTTTGAGGAATATATGAAATAAACAATTTCTTTTGGAGGAAGTGACATTTATATGGTCAGGGAGGTGTTTCACGGCAAAGATCTTAAGTTGAACTTATCTCTAATTTGGACTTCACAATTATGGAAAGTCGTCAGCATCTTTGAAATATTTTGTAAAAGATATTTTAAAAGGCATAAAATGTTGATTAAATTCGTTCATATTTTCTTTTCATCAAGTTCATGTTATGATGTGGAATTTATGAAAAATATAAAATACTTGAATTATTGCTTTTGAATATATTTTATTTTAAGGCTACAAATGGCTCTCCTTAATGTTTAAGTCCAACTTAGAGATAAGTTCAACTAAGGATCTTTGTGAAACACCCCCCTGATGGCATCTCCAATGTTTTTTTCTTCAGACTTACGTTTCTAGCTGTTGTTTCATATGATTCTGAAGTTCCTCCATATCCAGACTAAAGTGAGCTGTTTGCAGCTTAGGATCGTTACTGATGGCTTCCAATACTGAGAAGGAAAACGTAAACATATGATGATTACGAATAACATTTTAAAAGATTTGAAGATCGAAGCAACATGAGTTAACTACTTGAGAAAAACTGGGGCAGAAATTTGCTACAAAGATCACTGGTACAACAAACTCTCAATATACTTGTAGTTTGCTTGCTCTTCTCCTTTATATTCAATTATTTTTTTTAGCTAAGATTTAACAAGGTTTCAATAATGGTAAGTAATTCCTCAGGCCCAAGGAGTTTGTTCGTTATCATGACTTGTTTACATTATATGCCTATAGCTTGTGGAATACCAGTATCTATTCAGGTGAGGACTAATTTGCAGCTTTTGTGGAACATCTTCATGGAACCTTCAATCTTCAATCTAGTCCATGACACTTCAACTTTTGAGACAGCATTCAAATTTGGGATTATTTGAAATTGAAAAAAAGAATAAAAATAAGTTAATATACAGATTTAAAAAAAAAAATTGTGTACATGAATAAATAAATGAATAAATAAATAAATGATGATTGAATGAATGAATGAATAAATTAAATAATTAACAAATAAATGTATAAATTTGCACTTTGGACAGATCCTAAATTCGAAAATTACAATAGCTTACACTAAACATACTTACACGGGTTTTTCATTTCAGCTCTGGCTTTTGATGTTGCTATTCCAGTCCATGTCGTCAGATATTCATCAAATGATATCCTGGCCATCTTGAGTATGCTCAGAGCAGAGTTAGCCCCACCCTCGGCAAGGTCTTGTTTCTCCCCTGCGCCACCTTCAAAATGAACCCTCGATCCTTCTGCTGCAATGGTTTCACCAGCTGTATTATTCATAAGAAAGGAAAAAATATACTGAAATGAATATCACAGATTAACTAAGGCTTTGCTTTGTTCAGAAAGCAATGTTATTAAACATCAATGCACAGTTACAAAAATAAGTAATACTGTGATGAACATGGAAGACACTTTAATTTTTATGAAATTGTTTGTTTGTACTCATAAGTAAAATCCCTAAAAATCAGCTCAATATTCCATTTATGACTACTAAAATTCAAGAGGTGGTATGAAATTAAGATTAATCCGATTATTAAAGCAATGAAATCTATAACATAACTCACTTCTAATTTCTTTAAAAATCAGCTTCTTTTGCAAAATAATACTCTACTTTCCTTTTATCTTCTATAGATATATGTGAACAACCTGATTCTCTTAAATTTTGTTGAAACTACTGGTAGATATAATTCCAACTAAGCAACTCTAAAGTTTTTCTTTGATAGGCCTGCAATAAATCAAACAACCTTGCCTCCAAACAAACTGGCTTCTAGTCCTTATGATAGCAATATTTTACTTATAAATGCCCACGTGTGCTGGAATAACACAGAACACTTCTACATATATTTGTGTTTTTAAAAATTTAAAAATTTAAAAATCAAAAAATTAAAACTAATATTTTAAAATATATTCATAGAACTAATCACTTTTCCCCCTTTGATCCATCTTTGTACAATTAAGAGTCACCATAGCAACCTTCTGCTTCTAAAGCAATCAAAGAGCAAAACTCACCAAAGACCTTCTGGCTGGCATTGACACAGTCTATGACCATCTGCTTGTAAAGACCTGGTGAGTTCTGAAGTATAGTTACTGCTTCTTCATTCACTGCTCCCTCCACCACTGGGTTAGATAACATAGACTGCATGGATATAGAAAATGAATAGAACACTTGGTTGCTTATAATTCTTTGCCTCTACGTTTGGTCACTCGTTCACCACAAGTTTCTTTTGAATTCTTTACTCTATTACTATAGCCGTCTTTCTATTTATGAATATATCTCTCTCTCTCTTTTTCTTTTCCACTTATCTCTCTTTTAAATCCCTGACCTCATCTCTTAATCCACTATAAAGCTTCATTCTGCATTCACTTTCATCTATCTCTTTATTACAAATCTATATCTACCTTTATCTATCTCCTTTCTTCTTGATGCAGGAATATGAATGTTTCCATAATTTTAAAGAAATAAGCCTCACCTGAATAGCGAGCAGGATGCTTTGTAAACTGTATGTCTCTTTCCAGTAATTAACATCATCTAGGAATTCTACACATGGACAGCCTGTCTGCATATCAACTATAAAAATGAAAAAATATGAACTAATATATGAATCATTATTAATCAATACACACACATATCGTCGCTGTTTTCACGAAGTGACGGTAGTGAAAAAAAATTGCATTCACTTTGCGTTACGATTTTCCTCACTACCGTCACTTCGTGAAAACAAGGACGATATACTGATCTAGTACAAAGCTATTTTCAAATAACAAATTCATGTTACTGAATAACTGGATATTGCGGCAACGATGTATATATTCATGCCCAGGGTTTTCATTCATCCCTGACTATTAAATCCATTGCCCCCATGTCTATATGCAATAAACTACATGTATTTCTATGAAATAGTAAATTACTTGACTTCTTCCAAAAACATCTGAAGTCGATCATACCAGTACAAGTCTTTTTCATTTGTTGATTGTCTAAGGGGTAGCACCTCTAGTCCTCTGGAAAGGCGCCTGTGTATATGAGTCCAATTATTATTATTATCATTACTGAACTAGTAGAAAGCTCCATTAAAAAAAGACATTCATGTATCTGAAAGTGTGATATCATGGCCCATTCATACTCAGATTATTCAGTCATTCTTTAATGATCTAACAAAGTTGTAGAGAAAATGATGGAACAGTAAAATGGCTAATAAATATTTCAAAAAGATGAAATTTAACTAGACTAATGGTGATTAAAGCAACATTCAGATATGATACCGCAAAACCGTTTCATCATGTTTTTGATCTTATAACACAGAGATAAGTGAATATATGTGCAAGACCTTTGCTGCATTCAGTTGCAATTCATTTACATGTGAAAAATTGCGGCAGCCAATTTGCAGCAGTTTCCAGTGCCATATTGGAATGAGCCTCAACTTGGTTGGGACTATATGAATGCCTTACTGTTTGGATGGAATGGGATGGTATGAAAGCGGACATCAGGCGGCCTGTAGTTGAAATTTTCATCAAATTTCAGACTGAGAACAAATATTCCACCTTAATGAGAGAGAGAGAGAGAGAGAATACAGGTGAGTATGTCAACTGCATTTCTAAACTTGACTAAATATCAAACTTTTTACTCTTAATCATTTCTTAAGGCAACATGTCATAATGATGGTGTATGTAGTTACACATTTTCCACATGTCTACATTTACTTCAAAGGGAAATTATTGTATTACGACTCTTAATTTACAGTTTTTAATCTCATTCGCTGGAATTTCTTTAATATTTGGGCAAGCAATATTTACATGTATATTAAAACATGAATCCAGTTCTCAGTAGATCTTTACTAAAACAATTAGATGACACAAAACTGAGCAATTAATGCAGCAGAATTGATATTGTTCTTTGCACATTTATTGAGTCATTAAGTCAAGATATACTTTTTAGTTTACCTTCCCAAATTGTGCCTTTCAATCCTCGTATTGTAGCAGTCCACTCCATCATATTGTCTTCAGAAAGTGGGTGGGCATTTATTCCCTGCAGAAATACAAAATGACAAATTCATTATATTCTAAAATACATTAGGCTAGATCTATTAACGAATGCTATTCATATCATTAAAATTTTCATGTGGACAATTATTTGCGAAAAAATGTTCTAAATTGCTCTAATATTAGTCTCTTTATACTTAATTCCTCTGGTAAATTTTGATTTTTATTTTCTTCTGCATTCATGTAAGCTTAGAGTTTTTTTAAAACAATAATATTATAAAGTACAATAATTATTTTCTGACAATGAATCATAAATATATAAATTGTTATATTAAAAAACAAAATGATAAACTGTCATAAATCCAAACTTATGGATCCTGTTGAGTATCGTCATAGAAGTAGAAGAAGTAGTAGTGCCTGGTTGTAAACTTGCTAGCATGCTTTTTCATGTGAACAGTTTTAATTTATGTAATTTTGTTAATGTATTTTTCTTTTTTAACTTCATGTTGTCAACTCACCCATACTGGATCTCTTTGCAGCATGTAATATTCCCGGTCCAGAAGTAGATATGCCCTTGAATGCATTATTGCAATAAATATTAGTAGCCTCAAATCTGTCGAAATTTATAGAAGAAAAAAAAATGATTTAAAAGTAATCAGTTTAGTCCTAGATCTAACTCAACATTTATTAAAAATGGGCATGCTTGACTTTATTAAACTGCCCAACTCCAACTCCAAGACTCCAAGTCGTAATCAGAAATGGCCAATGCAATGGCTCATGCCAAGGCAAAGCGCAATGCAAATTCCAAGTTCCCAACCATTCCAAGGCCAAGCAGTGGTTGAATGGACTGGAGAAATAAATAAAATTATAATTGATCAAGACTAGAGCTATCATTTATCAAGTATCATCTAGGCAAGTACTACTAGGGTCTAGACTAGATCTACATGTAGGTCTACCGTCCGTCTAGCCTCTACTACTACTACTAGGTCGATAAGAAATCATAAAGAATAATGTCTGTTTCAAAGTTCAAACTACTCATTCACTTGCCGGCACTAGCATTATTGTCAGTCAAGGCATCGTGGTTGTAATTGCAAAACAAGATGGCAAATTAATTCACTCCAGCAAAGCATAGAGAGTCAATGCTAATGCGTATTGACCTTTAGCACTGCACTACGTGTTAATAGGCAGCATTTGAATACATGAATAGTCAATACAAAGGCCTTGTCAGACCTCTCATAGATTACGGAGATTCCATATGGTACCCTCGCTTCAAGACAGACTCCAAAACCATAGAGAAGGTGCAGAAGAGAGCTACCAAAATGATTTATGACATCCGCAACAGTCCTTACATAGAGAGACTTCGGGCGCTCAACCTTCCCTCCCTCGAAAATCGCAGACATCGAGGCGACATAATTTAGGTTTTCAAAATCATCCATGGACTTGAACGCATCCCAGTTGATACCTTCTTTGAACACTCGACTAGCAACACAAGAGGCCACAGTCTAAAGATCATAAAACAAAGATGCTCAACAAAGATTAGGCAAGATGCATTCAGCCAACGAGTCATCAATGACTGGAACACACTTCCTGAAGAGGTAGTCACTGCTACCACGGTGAATGCCTTTAAAGCCAGACTGGATTGAGTATGGAAGGACAAGCGTTTCTGCTCCCCATATGAGTAGAATACCTGACGCAGAACTGAGCAGACAAACTTACCAAGAAGACACCCAACTACGAGAAGGAAGAAAATGAAATTGAACTGGAAGCATGACTGCTGAGAACATAGACCAAATTTTCCGTCTCTTTCGTTCGTTAGCCTCTTATTGGGGTAGGGTCGGCTCTAAAGAGAGAGCCGACCCTACCCAAATAAGACTTAAGAGGCTTAACGAACGAAAGAGACGGAAAATTCGGTCTACTGAGAACACAGCATTCTTCCAAAATCTCGGGTAAAGGTAAATAGGTCTAGGTCTACACTCACAACATACGAATGCACACAATCATGCCGATACGGTGGATCAGCAAGTTGACAGTAGACTCACAATTTGAATTTTTAAATTATTCTTTCTAACAAACTAGGTCTAGATCTAGAGACTTGTCTAAGTAAGTCTAGAGTCTAGACTAATAGGACTAGATATCTAGGTCTACTCTAGACTGTAGAGACTAGACTGCTAATAATATTTAGGTGTCATCAATTGTCACTAAAGTCTACTGATTATTAGTGAAATTAGTTGAGATTTGTACAGTGGTGTTTGAAAAGTTGAGAATCAATAGCACAGCTTTTAATACACAGCCAGGATAGTAATGCACCTAATAATATGGCTATGTTCGAGCTGCGCATTTAATAGGCCCTATAGTACACACATATTTGGTAACAAGTGGGACTGAAAAGAAAAATGCAGTCTACAGGGATCGGAAACGTGCACTTTAATCTTACCCTTAATAAAATGTGAAAATGCAGAAGAGGTATCTCACTACTGTAAATCATCTCAATTTCTTATAAAGCTCAACAGAAATGTATTAGTTCCTGTATTTCTGCCAAATTATTCGAACATGTTCATCATTTTCCTGTAAATTTGTCAGATTGTTTATCGGTAACCATATAGGCTCAACCACTACAATGACATAGATTTATATCAATAGTATTATGCTAAAGTTTTAACAAATACATTTTTATTAAAAAAATATATTTTAAATTTAATTTTTTATTATTGTATTCCTTAAATAAATAAATAAAAAATACAATATATTAACATAATTTATTAATTTATGATCGGTAATGCTAACGCGTCGTCTGCTAGACAAACACGTATAGTAACCTTAACAAAAATAACTGTTTCAAAGGTAGAGGGAAAAAATATCATATAAAATAGGGCGGGGGTATCGACATATAATAAGTAATTTGCAGAGAAGTATAGTAAATAACTAAAATTGTCATGGTCCAGTTTCAAGTTAGTTTGCAAGCTAAGGGGTTGGTATAGTAGGTCATATAGACCGAATTTTTCTGTCTCTTTCGTTCGTTCGCCTCTGATTTGGGTAAGGTCGGCTCTCTCTTTATAAGTAGGTCAATGGTATAGCCATGGCATAATTGCTTTATTAACGAACACGTAGTTGCTCGGGGGGGGGGGGGTACTCAGATTTGGTGTGGACGGGGGTGTGCCGCTCAAGCCTTGAACCCCTACCCATTATTAGGGGGCATTTGGGGGCATTTTCTTGAGGAAAAAACAAACACCTTTTCTCAATTTTCTGTATTTTCGTTCAGGGATTTTTTGTGAAAAAGTTACCCATTAGAGTGGCACACCCCCGTATGTCCTAATATGTGACTGAGTGAGTACCCCCCCCCCCCCCGGGCGTAGGCCTAGTGCAACCCCCTCCCCCGCGATTTTCAAATTTTCGGGAGCAAAAAAATTATATATAGGCCTATAATGTCCTTTTCCTGACTGAGCTAGGTGTCATATGAAAGGGCAGAAACTCAACTTTCTGGAAATGTGTTTTCCTTTTTGAAATTCAGATAACGTCCGCCAAATGTCTTTTTGATTTCCTCTCTTTAAATTCATTTTAATCACTCATGCGTGAAATATGGATTATACGAGTTGCATCAAATGAAAGAGGAGGATTGGCTTTCCAAATATGTGTCACTTATCAATTATAATTGTGATTAAGTTAAGATAAAACATCGATAATTCTCGGTTTCGTTTTTTCTGGGACGCACTGTATATGTTCTCTTACCCCCCCCCCCCCCCCCACGCTTATTCAGCGGCTGGCTGAGTCGTTGCGATTTTTTTTTTGGACCAAAAAAAAAAATGTATATATGTCCTCTTAACCCCCCCCCCCCCCCCGCCCCCTGTACCCCCCCCCCCCCCCCGGGAAGAAATTCCTGGATCCGCCCCTGAATGCTTACCCTCCTTTCACGGAGTGGAAAGGTTGGGGGGGGGGGTGCAAATCGTCCGCTGTCCGGCCTCCCGCGGCCTTTTTTGGTAGCTTGAAAATCGGAAAAGAAATTTACTGAATTAAGAATTTAAGAACTGAGGCCGGTGAAAGAGGAGAAAGGAAGAAAAGGAGAGAAGCCAGGGGAGGGGGGGGGGGTACTCAGATTTGGTTTGGAAGAGGGGGGGGGGGTGCCGCTCAAACCTCGCGAATCCCCTACCCATTTTTTAAGGAATTTTTCTCACAGTTGAAAAAATACAACAATAATACTATAATATAAATAAGGATATTTTTATGAAAAATGGGACATATTCGTCCTTGTTTTCACGAAGTGACGGTATAGTGAGGAAAATCGTAACGCAAAGTGAATGCAATTTTTTTTCACTACCGTCACTTCGTGAAAACAGCGACGAATTATGTTCATATCCCTGATATGTTTAGGGATATTTTTGTGGTTAAAAAGTAACCCATATCCCGTATGTCTTTATATGGGTGAAGGGGAAGAGAGAGAGAGAGGGGGGGGGGGGGGGGGAGAGAGAGAGAGAGAGAGAGAGAGTTGAGGTAAACTGAGCAAATTTCTACTAGTTTGTTTTGTTTTGTTTTTTCTCGCTCTGTTCTGTGGTTAGTAAACTTGCTCCCTGTGCTAATAATGCGTTCTGCATCTATCAGGAACTGATGAGACACACACTTAAAAAAGAAAGAAAACATCCCCAGGAGCAATTAACAGTGAAAATCGGGGTGAAAATTCACAAGACAGTACACACAAAATTATGACATCTACTTGTAATCAACACTAGAGGGAGACCTAATCATTTGCAAAATTGCACGTACACATTTCAAGCAGAAGATCGGACATTGAAATGCCAAAGGCTCGGTTAATTTAAAAAAAAAATATTATTTTAAAATAACTTTAACCAACAACATCAGGAAAAAATGGCTTTAACATCTGAGGTCGTGTCTACTTCACCTTTCTCGGGGCAAAAACCTGGCACCAGTGGTCTCCGCAAGCCGACAAGCACATTTATAACCCCGAACTACACTGAGAATTTCGTACAGAGCACCCTCGCAGCGATCGGGGACAAGTTAGCCGGGGCTGACCTGGTAGTGGGCGGGGACGGTCGGTACTTCATGCGGCAAGCAGTCCACATCATTATTCAAATTGCAGCAGCAAATGGGGTAAGGCCTCTTATTGTTATTCTACCGAAATGTACAGTGTTTGGCTACTGTTAAATTGATGATTTGATCAGTCGATTCTGTTATTTGTTTCTGACTGTGAATGAGTGACCCACTCTGATATTCTATTGTAGATTCATGCAAAGTCTAAAAAAAACTGTTCAATAGATTATGCAGTGCAGTAAGTCATGGGTATAAAGCCGGCCTGAGGGGGGAGGGGGTGGGGGGGGGGGGAGTATTCACATATTAGGACATACAGGGTGTGCTGCTCTAATGGGTTACTTTTTCACAAAAAGTCTCTAAACATGGGTCCCACTTTTAACCAAAAAAAATAAAATAAAAATGGGTTATTTTTTTTTTTAATTTGCAATTTTTTTTAGGTGTTTGCCATATGCAACCCCCCCCAAAAAAAAAAAAAAAAAAAAAAATTAAAATAAAAGAAACTCCTGAAAATTGTGATAAATGGGTCTTTTTTGAGGGGGTTGTGAGGCTTGAGAAGCACACCCCTGTGCAAACAAATCCCCAGGCGTGTATCAGGTGAAGCTTCGAGTTTGAAAGGTTCTTCTATAGTGAATATTATCTAGACCTAATGTTGATGAGAGTGCAAAATATTGTCATTATCTATGACATAATCTGTGTACTCTATAAGTTATGTAATGCAATTTGAAATAATTTTTATTTGTATGATGTTTTTATTGAATGAATACAATAAACAAAATACAACAACAAAAAATGATAAGGGTAATCACGAATCAAGATATACATTGATTTTTTGTTGTTTGAGATGCACATTTTCTATCACCAACTCAAGCTTTCACTGAGTAAGTTTGTAGACTCGATGTAGATCTAGATTTCTAGACCAACTTGCAAAGATTTCATTCGAGTTTCAGTTTGATCATTTCGCATCACTCAACTCACTTGATCCAAATAGCCCTAGAGCAGTTGGGTCAATCTGTTTCATGTGTTATCTGTATTAATACTTTTAATAGGTAAGAAAGCTAATCATCGGACAGAATGGTCTTCTCTCTACGCCTGCTGTGTCATGCCTGATCCGTAAACGACAAGCCTGCGGTGGAATCATTTTAACAGCTAGCCACAACCCTGGCGGACCCAATGGTGACTTTGGTATCAAATATAACACAAGTAATGGAGGTATATATATATATATGGAAACCAATTTTCTCTCTCTCTCTCTCTCTCTCTCACACTGTCTGTCTATGTGCCTGTATCTTTCTCCGTCTCTGTCTTTATTTGTCTGTCTCTCTCTCTCTACCTACCTGTCTCTCTCTATCTCTCCATCTTTCTCTCTCTCTCTCTCTGCCCGTCTCTCTCTCTCTCTGCCCGTCTCTCTCTCTCTCTCTGCCCGTCTCTCTCTCTCTCTCTCTCTGCCCGTCTCTCTCTATATCTATCTCTCTCCCTCCCTCCCTCTTTCTCTCTCTCTTTCTCTCTCTCTCTCCCTCTCTCTCTCTTCATTTCCTCCCTCTATGTCTCTTTCCGAAAATCTTTGTTTGGATTTTATTTATCCCTCTTGACATAATTTGATTTAAACTAACTGGGTAATTAATTGAGACATTCTTAATGATATTCTCAATTACAAAATCACAGGCAAAATTAATACGAAATTACTGACTACGGTACCTAATAGTGACAATAGTTTAAGAAAACATATCAATGTAGCTGTAATGATGTGTTTCTATCAGCCTTTAATTTTTTTTTTCTTCCAAGGAAATACCTTTTGGCTTTCCCATTTATTCTTCATCCGGTATTCCCTTCCTTAATCTACAACATGTACCGAGGTGAATTGATCTCATTTTCATCCGAAACTCTTTCTTACCCAAGGGCCTGCTCCAGAAAACATCACCAATAAGATCTATGAAATCAGTGAGAAGATTACTGAATACAAGCTATGTCGAGGCATTGAAGTGGATCTTGGCCTGATCAAGACATCTGAATTCAAAGTGGATGGAAAGCCTTTTATTGTGGAGGTCAGTGCTACTGTTGGTTTGTTGCTGACAGGAAAAATGTGATCCGTGTATTATTTAAATAATTAAGCCAATAGGAATCCCAGAATCCAATATTCAATGGGTATTCAGTATTGAATGTCCTTGTTGTAATTTAAAGGTTTTTGGAGATAAATTTCACCTTATTTTTGTCTGCCCTTTTTTCAAGAAAGAAATTCAGTTATACTTAGATCGACAGTTTGTTGTGAGTAAACCTAGCACATTTCACATGGACAAATTGTTTAATAGATCTAGTGTTAAACAATTAAGAAAACTCGTAAAATTCATAACAGTAATAATACAATTCTTTTCGTTGGATCCTAAGCCTGAAAGGCATGGTCCTATTTTTGTTAATAAAAGTGTAGTTACTCGTAGTGGTAGACGAACCAAACCACGTGATATTTTAGACTTATAACTTAAAACTGTATAGTGTATACTTAATCTTTAACTCATGCTTATTGTGTTTTAGAAATATCAAAATGTATATATCATGTCTGTATTTTATTATCATATCTTACTTTGTTTTATATATCTTTCTGTATTGTATTGTAAATATGTGCTCTCATACCCCTGAAGTAATTAGAGTCAAATAAAATCTGATCTTATTTTATCTTAATCTCATCTTATCTTATGGGTTAGTTGTTCTTTAGAAATTTAAGCAGGATGGTACTTCTAAGGGTACCCTCTGAAATTGCATCATTTTTTCTCAGTATACTCTGTTGGTTTTTAGTTACATGCAACCTGTATAAAGTAGCTACATGTACATATCATATCTTTTTGCTGATAATTGCAACATTGGGATGATTAACTAGGATTTTGCATTCTTTAGAGGAGGCAACAAACAAAACAAAAACTATTACAAAGGTGCATGGTGCACATGTTAGAGTCAGCCACAATATTTAATTCATGTAGTAGTATGTATTTTTGGTAGGATGTTAATTGCAGAAAATACATCTACCTGCTTTGATGATATTTAGAAGTAAAATTTTAAATGTAGTTAATCATTTTCCCAATTAGGGGTGCATATGATAATATGAGTGTAGTATTGAATTACAGGCCTTCCCAGTTCAGACACAATGCATGACCATTCTAAACTCTGTCGTGTCATCTATAATTTTCATTGTGTTAAACATTTTTTTAATAGCTTTGACAACCCAGCCAGGCTGACTGATTTACCTTCCCAGTAACAATTTGACCTGTGACGATGCTGTATTCTTTGGTTTCATTCTTGATTCAGATTGTAGATTGTGTAGAGGATTATCTAGGATTGATGAAGGAGATCTTTGACTTTGGGGCCATCAAGAAATTACTGGACAGTGGCTTGAAAGTGGTCATTAATTCTATGCACGGAGGTAAGCTGTCAAAGAAGAATATTTCCCTTAAAGCCCCAGGCCCACTGTACTACTTGTAGCTATTTGCTCCCTCTATGTAGAAAACAATGCCTAAGCGGTACCCGTTGATCCCACATGATGCCCTTTTTCTTATGTTAGTTGAGAGCCAATTTGATGAGATAACCACCTGCCAGTGACCTTGCATGTATGTTTAATCCCTTCTGGCCAAACTAGTGCAGACAGGCTTAACCCATTCATTCCCTGTCACCGATGATACTTGTATACCTCAAAATCAGATTTTTGTTTTCATTGTTGAATTGGTCGTGCCAGTCGTGAGGTAATTTTGGAAGTGGATAGGCTCATCAAGAGGGAACTTATATTTAAAAAAACACCAAGAATACCTGCGAAAAGGTCCTCCCTAACCCACTGCTCCTTTCAATGCCAACTTGTATATTGTAGAAATCCACACTAAATTTCTTTCTTTCAGTGAAATCTCTAGGGTCTGTATGCAATGCTTTGAATGAGCCTTAGTACTAGAACATTTTAATTTGAGGGGTCCAGGGGAGTGTTTCACAAAACTTGTCATAAATGACAAATGACAGTTTTTGTTATAAGCTACTGAAATCCTTGATTCTGATTGGTTATCAGCAGATTTGTCACTGATTTTTGTCATTTGTCATTGAAAAAGGGTTTGTGAAACGGGTCCCAGATGGAGATTTTGGGGGCCCATGTTTTTGTGATTGTGAAGTATATACTGAAGGGCGAGAATGTTAAATCACTCTTTTTCCCTCATCATAGTCATGGGGCCCTATGTGAAGCGGACATTTCACCAGGAGCTGCAAGTCCCTCTTGAATCCTGCCTGAACTGCGACCCCAGTGAGGACTTCGGAGGTCATCATCCTGACCCCAACTTGACCTACGCAGCTGACCTGGTTGAACTCATGAAGAAGGGAACGTATGGCTTCGGGGCTGCATTTGATGGAGATGGGGTACGTATTTGTATATTACATGTTTCCTGAACACAAGTTGGGCTAGTTGTTTCACTCAGATTATACATCTGTCTCATTTGCAGTCCCCCATGGAACAAAGCACTCAAATACAGATATACAATGTAGGCCTATCTATCCTTATAAGAAGAGGCACCTATTTTGTCCTAAAAGGTATGATTTAAGGGTTTAAAACATAAAGAAGCTAGGGCACTTTTACCTTGACAGAATTTTGTGAGATAATTAATGGGGTGGGATTTTATCACATAGCAGGAGTACTTTTTTCATGCTTCTATGAAAAAACATGAGGCAATTTAGCCCCTGCCCCTTGAATCTGCTGCAGTTAGCCTATATGATATCTTTTACATTATGTTGCTTATTGGAATTGCAATACAATTCCTTGTGTTTGTTGGATCTTAACATTCTACTTGCTGTAAATGCATTCGTCGTAAACCCCAGATACTCTGTACATGTGAGCTAATTAATTTGCGCTAATCTTATGTATCACCTCTAAAGATTCCATATTTTTCCATGGCCCATTAATTTGGAATAGTTTGCCAGATGACATAAAACAGTGCAATACATTGAAACGCTTCAAATATATGAGGGTTATTTCAGCGGAACAAAATGAAATTGTCATTTATTATGTAGAACTTCCTTCTTCTTATCTTCTCTTTCTTCTTATCTTCCTGTAACTGTCTTTATCTTATCTTATCTTTATCTTTCCTCTGTCCTCTGTTGTTGTGAGTGTATTTACAATGGTTTTTTTTATATAAAATAAGTTTGTATCTTGTTTATGCTAAGTATTTATTTGGGGATCATTCTCATCAAGCCAATTTTGGATTTCATGATTCCCCACTTCCTTTTATCTTATGTTGATAATGAACAAATATATACAGTTGATGTTTTTTAAAAGAGAGTGAAATAAATAAATGAAATTGCCTTTACAGGATCGTAACATGCTGCTTGGTGAGAACGCATTCTTTGTCAACCCCAGCGACTCCGTAGCAGTGATTTCAGCCAATGCTAGCTGTATACCATACTTCAAGAAGAACCCTGTCCAGGGCTTGGCTAGGAGTATGCCAACAAGTGGTGCTATGGATAGGTAAGAGTAGAGTCATTTCTATTGCATCAACTGAATACTGTGTTAGGTGATCTTCAGATACATAGAATGCAATGGAGTTTAGCGATTTAAAGTCTTTGATAAACTAAACAAAATCAAAGAAAAAAAGTGAGTCCTCTACCAAGAGACACAGTACACTTTAGAAATATTCTCCACAATTTAGCTTCAGAAAGGTAGATTTCATGGTTAAAATTGACTTTTAGGATTTCACACTAAATCTCTAAACCAATAATAAGGTTAAATTCATGATGTGCATATTGAAGACCTAAACAGCGGAGTTAACATTTCAAATTTTATGTTCAAACACCATCATTTGTCGATTCTACTTCATTGGTTCCTCATTGCTTTCAGATTTTTTAAATGCCCATCTAAATCAGTTAATTCACCCTTGAATTTGACTGTTTCTTTACACAGGGTAGCATCTATTGACGGTATGACGCTCTTTGAAGTCCCCACAGGCTGGAAGTTCTTCGGGAACTTGATGGATGCTGGGCGACTCTCCATCTGTGGCGAGGAAAGCTTTGGGACCGGATCCAATCACATCAGGGAGAAGGATGGTCTGTGGGCGGTCCTGGCCTGGCTCTCGATCTTAGCCTCTAGGGGCCAGACCATGGAACAGGTCCTGCAGGAACACTGGAAGAAGTACGGGCGCAACTTCTTCACAAGGTGAGTGTCAGATGCTGCTTGTAAGTATCGGCTTGCATGGTGATTTAGATATACAGTAGGCTTGCGGGTGCACCATGTGAGAGAGAGGGAGGATTGAGGGGTCCTGAAAAGGACTCTCTGTAATCTTTCTTGAGGGTGAGCGTCTGCAAGATGAAGTACACACACTTGTTCTGACACCAAAGCAACTACTAAATTTTGGCCAGTTCAGGCAGCAGCATTGCTAAATGCAGTAGCATCTGTTTTAAGTCCAAAAACAAAACCTCATGGAGGCGTGATAGCTCATTGTGGGAGGCGCGATAGCTCAGTTGGTAGAGCAGTGGTCTCGTAATCTGGTGACCCGGGTTTGAAACCAAGGCGATGCGCTAGTGCCCTTTGGTAAGGCATTAATCCTCATTACGAGGTCCTTCGGAGAGGACCTTAAGCCGTCAGCCATCTGGTTGCTTACTTACAAGCATTTATGCTTTCTTAGCAGTCAGGTAAAATAACCTCCACCACCAACTTCAACTTCAAATAGCACATTACCTAGGTGGACAAGTAGGGATATTGACATCTTTCAAAACCATTGTTCAAGAAATGTTGGATTAAAGATAATTGATAGTTATCCTTTGTCCTGTCAATTCACTGTGTGACTTCATATTAGAGACATGATCTTTCGACAAAATCTGTATTTCCTTGTTAAATTGTCTGAATACAAATTTCTAAGGTTTAACTAGAATTAGACGCTGTTTAATAGTGGTTATGCAGTTAATTGTCATCATATTTCTAATTGATTTACAGATTGTTTGACTTGACATGATGAGAGTACTTTCTGTACTTTTGTTTTAGATGGGACTTTGAAGGTGTACCTGATGAACCGGCCACTAAGTGGATGGACAACCTCCGTGACATGGTGTCCAAAGACAAGGTCAAGGAACTAGTCGGGAGGTCATTCACAAAGGGATCCAAGACCTTCACGATAGCCCAGGCTGACGACTACAGATACACAGACCCTATTGAACACAGACTCACTTTGAAACAGGTATGAATCCTTATCTGATATAGTGCATCTGTATTTCTTAGAAAAAGTGGGAATGGCTCATCGGTTATATAGTTGCCTCATCAGTTATATAGTTGGCTCATCGGTTATATAATTGGCTCATCTGTTATATAGTTGCCTCACAACCAGGAGGTCTAAGGATAGAACAATTTGCTAGTTCCCCATAATTAGGTATTGGTCCTAAATCAGGAAGTCACTTAGATAGGACATAATGCCATACAAATGTATGTCAATGGATTGCTTTTTGTATGACCATGCAATTGAACTTGTCATCATCATACCGTCTTCATAAAATGTTGAACTTCAATTGCCATATTGTTAAAACCTTGTCGTAATTCTTAGTAATATCTTTAACTAATAGCTTTTTGATGACCTGCAGTAGACAATTGTCTGGGAAAGAAGTATTGGTACAAATTACCCTTTAATCGCTGTACATGGGCCATATTAAGAGGTTTTTAATGATGTACGGATGAAGAATATATCACTGAAATATTGCCTATCATAAAATTTTGAAAATTCTTCTTTTGTTTAATAGAGGTGTACCGTGTACCTCAATCTGCAGTCATATCCTATCATTTCCAGTGACTTTCCACTAGTTGCATCATGCCTATCCATAAATTCTCTTGTAAATGTAGATGGAATATAAACTAAGAGAATTATTCTCCAACTCATTTTTTCTGTGGTATTTCTTCTTATCCAATATAGGGTATTCGATTGATCTTTGACGACGGCTCTCGTGCGATTTTCCGGTTGAGTGGAACCAGCAGCTCTGGCAAGACCGTTCGCATGTACATCGACAGCTTCGAGTCCGACCAATCAAAATACGGCATGGATTCACAAGATGCATTGCGCCCTCTAGTGGAAATTGCTTTAGAGGTTTCACAATTTAAGGAGTTTACTGGTATTGAGAAGCCTACTGTCATCACATGAACAATTTGTGTTATTATTACACGATTTCTAGTTCTTTGTTTTCAAGCTCAAATTAGATTTTGAGTTATGATAGTGCATGGCACTGACATTATTTTTTGTTTTGTTTTGTTTTGTATGTCGAATTTGTCCTTTGCATAGCAAAAACAACCTTCAGTGTATTGAAGTGAATCTCGATCATGGTACAATAAAGTCAAATTTTGCAATCATTTTAGTGTTTTTCACATATCAATAAAGCAAGTACCGTAAATCAGCAAGAGTGCTAGCAAATTGATTTGTATTGCTCTTAATGATTATGATATGTGATTTAATTCTCCCATAAGGACTGACTATACAGTGCATCCCAGAAAAAACGAAGCCGGGATTTATCAATGTTTTATTATAACTTAATCACAATTATAATAAATAAATGACACATATTTGTAAAGCTTAGATCGTCCTCTTTCAGTTGAAGCAACCATTTTTAGGGCGGTATCTGAATTTCAAAGAGAGAATCACATTCCTAGAAAGTTCATTTTCTGCCCTTTTATATGACACCTCAATCAGGAAAAATGAGTCAAGAATAACAAAGTTCTGTTTGTTTTAAGTAATGCTTTCATTTCCATAATTTGATTAAACAAATTTGTTTTCACTGGCTGCCTGCCGTAGCAAAAAACGGATTTGACAAAAAGACTTACATGCAACTCCGTTACGTTGATGATCAGCCATGCACAAAAAAGACGAAAAGACTTGGTGCATGGCTGATCGTCAACATCGATACTTCTCGGTTTCGTTTTTTTACTGGGACACACTGTACAGTATCGTACTATGCTACCTCCTCAATCATTTTGTGATATAATTAGATTCTTCAACGATTGTGCTATTCATTATTTAGTAGAAAATCTGCTTTTATAGAACTAGAATATAATATTTTCTTGAAATTTCTTTCGTCAGTACTGCAAAATCGTTCGTTCTTCCTATATGCTGCTCTTTAAGTATTTTGTTTAACTTTCTGCACAAAAATAAAAATATCATTGAAGTTCTAATCAATCAATTTTTTTTAACCAGGAATGATAATGTCCTTAATACTTTCGACTTTTACAGATTGTCAAATCATTTTATACATCCATGATTTGTATCTATATATCTATTCGCATAATCATCATAGCATCCATTTTTATTCCTATTCACCTACATTTACATTTTGATCTCCATAGTGACTTCACCAATAGCATATACATGTATTTGTATTCAAGTTTAAGATCTATGTAAAGGTCCAATGTTACAGAGATGCAAACTTTTTATGATAGTATTTTTAGCACAACCGCATTTTTTGTTGTTCTTGTGTATGCTAGATTTCTAAGCCCAGTATACAATCAAACATATGTAAAAGAAAGTGCTGCTATCAACATTGGTATTTCATGAATTATATTGTATAATGTATGTGCAGACTCAACTTATCCATGTTCATAAATGCGATTGAGCAATATTCTATGGTTATTTGATGGGCTTCCACAGACCTGCCAACCGGTTCGATATAGTCATATTTTGTATGATTTTTAGAAGCAAATACGACAGTACGATTTTGCACAATAAAAAATACAATTTTCAACAAAAAAATACATATTTTATGTTTGTGTGCAAAATGCCCATTCTGTCCTGTAAAGTATCCTTCAAGCATCTCACATAGGCAATTTTGGGATGTTCATTGGTTTATTGAACACACCAGTCATGACGAGATCATGCATATTCAACCAACGATCAAAACAAAAATTCTTCCTGTATGTAGGAACTGTAAGAGGCATTGATCCGCGTAACAGTCCATGTTTATTTTTAAAAATACAACTTTTGTCAGTAAAGTACAACTTTAGGGATTGAAGAATACAGTTTTTGAACTCAAGAGGTTGGCAGGTCTGCTACCACTTATTTGGACAAGTATATGGAATATCTTTCCATCATTAATCATTGATCATGCCTGTCATTATTCATACTTGGAGACAGGCTGATATTAGATATGTACATGTATGTTTAAAGGATGGAACTGTATAAAAGGAAATTAAAGCTGCATTACATGAATTAATGCAGGTATCCCTTTTTGCTTCAGGAAGAAAAGCTTGGTACAAATACATTGTTCAACACTCAGAATTCCGAGTAGGATTTTGCTGCGCACAGCACGGAAATAATTATATGCAATTAAAACTCGTACTATTAACACACCTTTATTTTGCATTGCAATTTTGGTATTCTACCATCCTTATGTTCAGTCATCATATAAAATAACAATATTGTTCTTCATTTTACTGTACTAATATGTATCCATATGTGAATTAATAGATTTCATGTAAAGGTCCTGTACATACCTTTAAAAAATGAGAATTATTTTGTAATTAATATATTTAAGAATAGAAATACATGTATTTGCTGAATATGATTTGCAATAGTTATAATGGAGTGACTGATGTGATACTGAAAGCATATTAAACAACCGTTGTGTATTCACAAATGTTTTGAAATACTTGTAATGATTCACTGATAATTCGAAATGAGAAGAAAAGAATATTGGAAATCTGAAGATGGACAGTTTTCTGTGTATGTTCGTAATGTGAAATTTCAATGAAATCACTGCTGGTGACTTATTAGTATGCCATATATGCCATCAAAAATTGTGCCACGGTCAATTCTAGAAACTTTTGTCTTCCTTCAACTCTTGGCTCAACATGCTACCTTACCCATGCCTAAATACAAAGCCTCCAAAACCAAATTTGTTGCCCAATCCCTAACCATTATCCTGGACAAATCAAAAGTGTAAACGTCACTGGAGGAAATGCTGGACCATGGGCAATTCTTTAGAATGCCATGGAGTAGTTGGTTAATTATAATTATTAAATGAGAACACGATCCACCTGCAAACACATTGATTGATATTCTCTGTTACTAGTATATAATTATTTTGTATTGTACACATTTTCATTTTAATAGAAACTCTACACTTTTCTCTCCTCTACTCTACCCCTCCTCTCTCTCTCTCTCTCTCTCTCTCCCTTTCTCTCTCATTTTGTGTGTCTTCAGTACATGTTTTGTGTAATAGCTTAAAGCCCCTCTTAAGTGTTGGGAGCCCCCAAAATGTTGTGGCCAAATTTCACTTAAATTGTATAATGATACGAACAGAAAACCCAAATTTTGTATTGTTTAATCAATATTCGACTTCAAAGACGTTTTTTTTGTTGAAAAATCTTTGCAGGAGTGTGTGCCTAATGCCATCCTCTTTCGTATCATTATAAAATTGAAGTGAAATTTTGCGATTCAACTTTTGGCAAATTTGGGGCTCCCATTTAATGGTAAATTAGCTGTATTTCCATTTTTTACACAAACAAGAGTGTTCACATAATTTGTATTTTTGTGTTGATATATGATGTAATTAAAGCAAACTGCTGCAAACTTGCGTCTTGGATGACATAAACAGCAACGGTCTAAATACATCAATATTTATTCCATCATAATTTCTTGTCTTCCTTATAAATATTTGTAAAAAAGGGCACTTACGTGACTACATCGTGAATAGAATTTATTGCACAAAATATTCATTTCATTTGAGTATGCTCAGCCAAGTAAAAAAAATCCATAAAGTAAACGCATCCATTACAAAATGAGAAGACATTTCAAGCTTAAAAGATGTTTTCATGAAGGTCTTGGAAGCTGGATATCGATTCCACCTTATCCTCGATCCCAAGCAAGGCGAAACGTTTGGAAGGTGCGGTGTTCCAGTAGCAAATCTGCTCCGGTGAATACTTATCCTGGGCAGGTATCACATCCCTGAATGTATTGTCTTTCCAATGGAAGTTGAACTTCTCTAAAAGGTCAATGATATCTTCATCGGTTGTCAGAGGCTGGTCAGGAGCCGCTTGTCGTAGGTCGCTGCATATGGTGTCCTTGAAGATGATGGCGCCTCGAAAGGCAAACCAGCCGCCATACCTAGGATGGATGCTGACTCCATAGATTTTCTGTAAAGAGAATGAAGTTGCAGACAGTGAAAGGTGAATATTGATCTTCATTTTATGGTGTCAAAAAGGCTCAAATGCTTCCTAGATCTCATAGAATTCCCAGATGAGCAATCTCTCTGCCCTAACATAGGTCACTACATAACATAACTACATAACTACATAACCCCACTGCACTACTTATAGCTACTTGCGCCCTCTACATAGCAAATAATTTCTAATCGGTGACTATTGATCCTCCATCATCCCCTTATCCTTATGTTAATTGAGAGCTGATTTGATGAGATAACCACCTGTGACCTGTCAGTGACCATGCAGGGAGGTCTAATCCCCCCCCCCCCCCCTGGTCAAACTAGTGCATTTGGGTTTTAAAATTTGTAAACATATTTTTTTTAATTATTTTTTATTCTATTTTTTTGGAAAAGTAAAATATTACTCTTCCCTACCAAATTGTATTCTTGGAGGCATGTACAGAAATTGAATGTAGAATTTCGCAAAAATTCATCCTACACTCACACACATGGATTTATCATCATAACTTATTCCCCCAGCCCTTTCCCGGTGAAACCTTAGACATGCACAAACACATTGTGTGAACAATTGATCTACCTACATTGTACAGTAGTCAAACTTCAGATAAATTAGCATTAAAAAAAATCTGGAGTCGATAAGTGATTGTAATAACTAAACCTGAAAGCAAAGGTAGAATAAGAAACTTAATACCTTCTTTGCATCCCAAGGACCATTGCAGACATTATCTCTCTTGTAGTAGAATGCAGCTCCGGACACATGGCCTGCTGTTTGGACCAAGAGTTTAGGTCTCCTGGTCACGGGATGCATCTCAAAGTCCTGGATTATGTCCACTTCATGGTCTGGTTTTAAAGCCTTGAATAAAATTTTTAAAAAGAGATATCAAGTATTTGGAGTGAAGGAGGGATAGGAGAAGGGTTGAAAGAGAGAGTAAGTGACAGAGAGGGGAGGGGGGGGGGTATTATGCAACAATATACAAACTCCATTTTCTCTGAAAAGTCTGAATTAGGTCTCATTAAACTTGAACATTGAGATGTTCAGGTTCCTTTCTTCTTTAGAGAGAGAGGGGGGGGGGGGGAGGGGTATAAATACTCCTTTATCCTTCCCCAGAACAATCATGCCAAGGCTCCATCTTGTTTTAATTTTAACAGCACATAATCTTTTCTTCATTGTTCTCCTTTAAAAGAGCTGGTAATTTTTTTTTTTACTTACTTTCTATTATAAGTAAAACAAAGCAAAGGAAATATACCCTAATTGATATATGAACTTCAAGACTACTGTAAACGCGGAAATATTCGCGCTACATTAATTTATGTGGATTTTGTGCTAAAGTCGGTGTCCGCAAATATTAGAACCCGCAAAAATATAAACATGACTTCTTATGCATGTTCTGAACGGGCTGAATTTGGTGCAACCCGAATTTAAGAACCAGCGAATATGTTTTGGGGTCGCTCAGCGCAAAAAATTAATCGGGCGAAAATAACAGCGTTTACAGTATTCTTGAATTCTGGTACCTCTTTGGCTCTTAGGAGTTGCTCTGCTACACATGAGTCAATGGGGTCTCTGTTCTCGATCACACTCTGGCATTTCAGTCTTTCAACAAATGGCAAAAAGGCCTTGTCGAACATAGAGGGCGAGCTGAGGATACAAAAGGCCAAAGTATCCTCGGGATATGACAGATGGAAGACAGCTTTCACCTTCTCATTATACCATCCAACCTGCAGGTGAAAAAACATTTTAAGATATAGAAGAAAGAAATATCTCACTGGCTAATAATATAAAAATGTCATTCAAATCATTGGCTCCAGCTAGCGGCTCATGTTTTTGGTTTTGTCTGAAAATTGAGACACTGATGTTAATCTTCTTTTTACAATTATATGGAATAATCCTCCACACTAAATGAGTGCAACAGTCAGCAGGTTGAGGATAAGTTTAAATTTATTATAAAAAGTACAATTTACACACTTCTTCTTGAAAATTGTCTTACTGTGCTGTGTCTGTAGTGTCTGATCTGTAGTCTGGACTGAAATCTGTACTGATTTATTACTAGGCCTATTTAGAGATATGTTTGCAATTTGGGGGACAGTATACACCATTTCAAGGGTACAAGAGTGCGCATGCGCTGAAATTGGCGCCATTCTAAATTACGAGTAAACAACTTTGTTTAGTCTACTCTTAATTTAAAATGTCGCCCATGACCATGTCAATATGATGGGAGCTCACAACACAGGCAGTGACGCAATGTGTACACGCAAATTAAAATGGCGGCCTTAACCGCAAAAGGGTGTACTATTGAAATGCTCATTCACATCGTCTCTGCAGGCTCAGCCTCTTCTTTTTCTTCTTCTTCAAGATAATCTGCCTCCTTCAATACTGAAGATTCTTGCAGATGCCGTATACTCGGCCTGATTGGGGTGTGCAGGTGGACCATTACACTGGGGTTTCCCCCTACTCTTATACGAACAGTGCAATGGGTTCTTAACGTCCTATCCGAGGGACGGAGTGTTTTCCACTTGACATAACCTGCGTCTATGAAGAAGGGAAGGGGCACATTAACACACAACACAGACTTCAGTCATCCGCCTGGGTGGGAGTCGAACCCGGATCTTTGGTTCGACAGGCAGACACTTTACCGACTGGCGACTGAGCCAACTCGCCTCATCCGGCATCCTCGACCTCATGGAGTCATGCATGAGCATTTTGGAAGATTTGAAACAAGTTCAGTCATCTTAGTGAAAAATGAAAATGTAGCTGATTCATAGTCACGAAAATGGGTGATTGGTCAAAGTCATCTCACAAAAAATTACTGTTTACTGTTTAGTCTTAGAATGGTGATTTCACGTAGATCTACGCATAATACACACACGGGACTGATATGTAAACTAGGTCTAGTGTGACAGCGCGAACTAGCGCTAAGTTCTTAACTTCAAATGACTAATAATACAGACTATAAAAATCAGATTATAATTCTCTGTTAGCCTACCTTAAAAGGGTGAATCTCAAAACCACTTGGTTCCAGAGTATTCCGGAGTTTTTCGGTAATAGATTCCATTCCATCAATCAAGAAATTTCATGATTTTTGGACACTGTGTCTCATGATCATGTGACATGTCATGTGACTTTCCGGCTAGTTTTGTTAAACCAAAGTCTAATCTGTGATCGTGACGACTTGAGCTGAGTGACAACATCATATTAATTCTAGTTGGTTTCTTTAATCAGCAAATATGTCTTTTCGATCAGGGACTCCGAGGGATTATGAAACAGGCGAGAAAACACCACTTTTAAATGATGACGAAGCAGTGCCAAGAAAAGGAAGGTAAGTTGGAATTCTCTTGATTGTAAGTATCAAAAATTGCTGAGACTGTGTTGACGGAGAAGAGTTGATCGAAGTTTGAGAATGCATGCACCCGGCACCCGCGTCTTCGGGTGCGCGAAAGTCGGAAACGAAAGAGTAGCTTGTTGTCATGTCGCGCCGTTGTGATTGTGATTGTCATAGATCTAGATCTATTTGTCAGTGATTGGTGCATGCGCATGATATAGTTTAGATGAATTTTGAATTATGCCTAGATCTAGGCCTAGATCTACATTTTCTTTAATCTTAATGAATTAGACCTAGACCTAATCTACCTAGATCTATTGCTATTTATTAAATTTAATAATTTATGCATGATTTTTTTCACGTAAAAGAATCCCCTATCCAACTCAGTGAATGGAAATACTCGCCGCTGATTGGCTGATCGCGCGACCCTCGCTTGTCTGCTAGCTGCGAGGCATGGGCGATTCGCTACACTATGCGTGGTGTATTGTACCGTGTATTGTAGCGGCCATGTTGCGGGAGCGGGGCCCTGCACTTAACTCGAACACCAAGCAAAAAATAGCGATCAAAGACACATTCAGTGTATATGGTTTCAACGATGTCGCTCTCTACATACTCATGTCGCTCACATACAATTTGCACGTAGCTTTTTTGTTTAAATAATAATAATATTTGCTTCATGATTTAAACAAGAAATGATAATAAATAGGAAGTAAAGAGTCCCAAAAATAGGATTTTGTCTTAAGTGATCGAAAACCCCCTCCTTTACTCTATAACATCATAACAATTTGGACAGATTTTCATGCCAAGTGTTCATTTAGACCAATGTACATCTTTCTGTGTACAGTGCTTGTAACTTTACCAAGACTGGGCCAAATTTCTTCATTTTGATGACTCCAGAACCTTGCAGTACACATCAATACTTACATGTATATGCTAGATTATCAACCTTTTCTGATCGATTCCATGACGTTTCTTTCATAATGCAATCGCATGACCAGAACTCAACTTTATCTTCAAGTATTCCTTTTCATTTTATGAAATTTGTACATTATTTTGTATTTTGCCTGTTTTTAACTGTAATGTGGAAGCATAAAAAATAACTGAAAAATGAAATTAATTATGTGTATTTTATATACCTACATATAGCTGTATTGTATTTTTTTCTTCAGTGTGAGCTTGCTACGAGACAGTCCTATCTCTGGAAGCAGTAATCTTAGTGGAGCTAGCCTCACTGGAACGGAGAAGAAAAGAAGGTGAGTCCTGAGGAAAGTCATTATTTGTGATGTCTTGAATGTCTTGAATAAATCAAAGTACCAACAAAAATTATTTGTATTTCTTTCTTTTCCCCCTCTTGTTAAAGGCACCATGACCCATTTGCAGGCAAAAAAAATGAAAAGTTTATATTCGACAGATCTATAGGACTTTAGAACACACTGTACATGACATATTCATAATTCCTGCAAAGTTCTTCAGAATTTTAAAGGTGGGGAAGAGCCTGTTGTGGATCATCCCTAACTAGACATTCTAATCTTTCCAACAATGCACATATTTGTTTAACATTTGTAATGTATACATTTCAGTAAAACCTACTAAAAAAAAATCATTTGTACATCCAAACTACCAGCTTGAAATTATTTCAATCATAAATAGGATTTAGGAGCAGGAAGTATTTAGATTCCCAAATAATCTTTTAATGAGGTATATTTAGATGGACTTATTAAGGAGGTTGTATAACACAAAGAGCAAATGTAAATAGCAAAAGATTAACAATAAAAACCAGTTTGACATACCTAATACGGTATATAAAGGTACCGGTACATAGTACATACCTAATGCATGTACTGTATGTGTAGGCACTTACATGTACATGGGGGAAGGTAAGAGGAGATTACTAGTAGACAATTTTGTTGAAACTGTTGTAGTTGTATTTACTGGTACATGCTTTGTATCCTGAGATATGATGGAGATACATGTACATTACGTTGAAGAATTGTGAGACAGATAGAGAGAGGAAAGAAAGGGAGAGAGAGAGAGAGAGAAAGAGAGAGAAAGAGAGAGAGAGAGAGAGAGAGAGAGAGAGAGTGAGTTAAAAGAGGATGGTCTTTCTCCTTTGTTGAGCAGTAGAAATTATAAGGTTCCTTTGTATATTTTAAATGAAATACCTTTTTAATATATTAAAAAGACAATGTATATTCTTCATACCATATGTATAGTGAACAAAGAAATGTGCATGAAACTCTATGGATTCATTCTTAAAGGGTGAGGTCTTTGATATATAGCAGAGAAATTCCAAAAGTTTAAAAACATTCAGGAATGACCCGCTAAAAGTACACGGAAGCTGTGAAGATTCAGAAAAACTCAAAAAAGGGCTCTGAAGTCCTGAGGCAAAACAAAAACAAAAACAGATCACCTGTGCACAAAGAACAAAAGGGAAACGGTACAAATCAACATCGGTATATTTAATTTCTTCTGTAGATTTGTCTTAAAAGAACTGCAGTCAACAAAAAGTATGTACCGGTAGTGTCTACACTGAGAATGACCCGCTTCCTGCAGTTGAATCTAAAATTCAGGAAATGGAAGGGCATCAAAATGACACCGAACAGGAAAGGACTTGAAAGCCTGCCTATACTGTCTCAACAAAACACACCTACCAGTATTTAAATCTTGAATTCTTTTATTGGTCAGAAAAGCACATACCGGTAATAAAAACATGTAAATGTGTATGTATGACACATAAACACTGCTTATTGTCCCCATTAGAAGTCATGCCTATTTTCCATTCTTTTGTTCTTTTACAATGTTGTATTGGTCAGAATTTTCAGAAAAAAATTATAATAGTGTCTTTCGTGTAAAGTAACGCTTGAGAATGATGCCATTCTCTTCATTGTTCATGTACTGTAATACTTGAATTGTAATTCAAGACTTTGGTTGCGAGTTGATTTTACAATACCGTACATGCATATCCATGAGTTGAGATAATTATGCACATTTATGTTAATAATCCTTGTGTTGTCCTATGAATCATATATTTTGTAGATGATGAGTGATGAGAGGATCAGTTTAAAATATTTTTGAATAGTTTTCATATTTGAGGGATAATTTTAATCATAGCCTTATAAAGGCACAAAGTAGAATTATGGTTTTTTACTATTTTCACATCACTTTCATCATACAAATGGCATGGATACAAATATCATAGTGCCAATGGTCATGACTGCATGACGGTCAGTTTAAATGTCGGACTTTCAGGACCTTCACGGTATGATGGACATGTGCGCTACATAAGAAGCCACCTGTATAATTACATGTAGTCCGATTAGATTTATGTTTTTTGTGTGTACATTTTTAGGATCATCTACCTATAAGTTTCTATAACTTTTTTGATGATCCAACCACTTCGTAATTTCCTTTAGTGTATTTTCCATTTTATTGGTTTATCTACGTTTGCAAGAAATATCTTATCGTATTCTTTGCCTTTGTATGTTTTTTATAAAAGTGGTGAATAAATTCAATTCAATTCAATTCAATTCAATTCAATTCAATTCAATAAATGTCCATGTTGTAATTTCTATGAAAAGATAGGTTATGAATGAATCAAATCTCTCTCTCTTTTCTTTTCTAGGAAACCTTTCCACCACGCGTCACGCCCCTCCATCTCAAATGGCAACATCCAGGAACCAGAAGAAGAAAGAGTGGTTGCTACATACCAGAGATATAGATACTACAGCAGGCTAGGAGCAAATAATACAGATCACTTTGTAAGTTTGGAAAGAAATTTCCTCTTAAATCTGCACAATATTTGTAGGGCATATTCAACTTGTATATTATGTAGGCCTGCAATTTTGTTAGTGTTACAGAGACAGTTTGGGTAAAAAGAAGTCATTTTATCTTGTAAATCCAGTGAGTGAAAAAAATGAGAAAAAAATTCACACAGATTCTGTGATCAATTCTTGTCTTATCATATATTTTTTTGATAATACACTGTAAGTATGATGAATTCAGATCACAAAACCACTGAACAGTTGTGTTCTTGATCTATATTACAGTAAGCGTTGTATAGAGAAGTTTGAGTTCTGGGAAGAGGTGAAAAATAATTTGTGAGTGCGTTATCATTGTATTATGCAAGTGTGGAAGAACATCAGATAAAAATGTTCCCTGAAAAAAAGGCTCTTCAAATGCCTTTAATATTCTAAATATTCTAAATATGGCATGTACATGTACATGTAACATCATGAAAATCGGGACAGATTTTCATGCCACATGTTTGTGTACTCCCATATACATCTTTCTGTGTACAGTGCTTGTAACTTTACCAAGACTGGGCCAAATTTCTTAACATTTTAATGATTCCAGAACCTTGCAGTACACACCAATACTATATGCTAGACGATCAACCTTTTCTGATCGATTCCTTAACATTTCTTTCGCAATGCAATCGCATGACCAGAACTCAACTTTATCTTTAAGCTACCAAAAAACCATTGTATTCATGGACTGTACATTGAAATCTGAATCACTTGTCCATTGTTGACTTTGAGACAAGAACAATCACCTTTTATCGGTATGTAGAAGAAAAACAAAAAGGTCTATTGTGGAAACTCAACATTGACATCCAAGACAATGGGAACTTATGACTAATATTCTTCATGTTTGTTGAATACATGTATGAGAGTGTGGTTATATTTTATCATGGTGTTAATATGCAGTGGGAAAGGCTTTTTAAACCAGTAGTTGCATGAATGCATGCAGTCCATTCAATCATTTTCGATGCAAGAAAGGTGTTAAAGGTATTACAAAGTTTTGGGAAAATTTTGAAAATTGGCTAAATGGTGATTCTTTACAATTTTGATATATTTGGATGCCCCTGTGGATGTATTATAATCACTAGAAAATTTAGCCCCTAAAACACTTTTGCTTTCGAGAGAAATTGAATATCAAATAGCACCTCCTGCCATGCGTATAGCTGCGATCATGAAAATCTCAGAATATGCAGTTGTGATATATAATTTACAAACGGGAATAGCCAATTGGTAGATTTTAGTCAAGAAACATTGTTTTATAGGTTGGTTGGTTGGTTCTTCGTTTAGATGGCGCTCTTCAATCTCAAAGATTATTTGCGCCAGTCAATTTCGTGTATAGCTTTGGCGTGGGCTTCGGAAATCAAGCCCACGAGCGACTTTCCTTGGTGAAATGAAATTAATAGTGATATAGCTAAATTAATATCTTGACCTTGAGAGGGGGCTATTGAACATAAAGAATTCATGTCCCCATACCAAAACTTTGTATTACCTTTAAGTAAATGTTTAAGATTGCACAGTGAAGTAAAGAATTTGAAATTAAAATATTTCATTTATTATTATTTTTTTGTCAACCTACAGTAAATGGAATTCTCTCTTACCACAATCGCAATCATCGATTAATATAAAACAAAATGTTCATCTATATCATGACTATGTCTTCTTGATTCTTTTATCTAATCCATTTTCTCAATTCCTCTGCTTTATCTTTCAGAAAATCCCAGACCATGTGGTTCCTTCTGATCTGTTCGTTCTCATCGTTCCATTCAACCTTGTCAAGAAGGATCCAGGTGCCAAGCAGAGTAGCATTATTACAATGTAAGTATAAACACACCCAATGCTACAATCACATGTAGAAGTCTACGGTACCTGTTTTAACGAGTAGTTTGCATACTCAGACACTCGCGTTCCTTTCAATGTTGTTTTCCTTTTAATAATTTTGTTTTGTAAAAATTTGAACATAAATTTCCAGCCCTTTGGCTGCTTGTTTAATGTTCAAGGTTTCATCAAAATAATCGGTTCAAACAAATAAACAATCAAAATGGAGCCATGCGCTATTTAAATACAGAGTAGCAAGTTGTTACAATGGTATGAAAATCCCTCATCCTACAGTATCTATAGGTTATTAGCACCCTACCTGTACCTTTTTATAGTATATTTATGAGAAAATCATGTTATTATGTTACGGACTACATATATTTTTCTTCGGAATGTATCTTCTTTTCATTTCTGCATATGATATGAATGTAATTTTCCAAAACAAAGGGCTAAAAATGTCAAATTTAGTATTTTTTAAAGTTTTGTAGATTATGGATATGTCCTGATTGGTATTTTCTTGCTCATAAACATTTATATATTAGATACATCATACAACATAATCTTTAACATTCAATCTCATTACGAAAACGCAAAACTTACATAAAGTGATGCGGTTGCATGTACAGGAAAATATACACATTACATCATCAGAGTGGAAAATTCTATTACATCACAACCCTGCATTGAACCCTCACTTATTGACACAAGATTAATAGTCGTCAAACAGTTTAGTGTCAAAAATATTACACAGAGTTTAGAAACATGTTGCAGAGACTCAAGATTGGAACCTTATCTCTATATTGTGTTTCTTATCTGTCCATATCCATAACAGCTGTGGCAAGTCTCACAGTTTCAATGTAGTCTCAAGAATTTTATCTCACAAATTAAGATAATATTTTGTCTGCATATTGTTTAACCCCTTGACATGAACAACCCAATTACTTGAAATACAATCCATCACTGAGAATGAAACTAGGTCCACTGAGTGAAATTCTATTCAGTTGTTTCCAATAATTGTTTAATTTATTGAAAATGGAACATCACCATGACACTTAAGCCTGGTATTTATTCTATTTCCAATTGAACATGATACCTAGTGAATGTTGTGTGCTGATTAGAAGCTTCTTCATCTTTCTCTAAGCTTTTTTCTTCTTCTATACTCTCTCTTTCAAACTCTTTGTGGATCCAGGGGGGGGGGAGACAGGGGGCAGGGGCCCCCACCCCTATTTCTTCTTCTGTGAAACTGTTCTACATGTGTAATATATGCTGATCAGTGAAAAGTGTTTGTTTTTTTGGTGTAAATACGGGTGTGGTATACATGTAAGTATTGGAATGAATGGGTGTATGTGGGAGCATGTTTTTTTCTTTATCATTATTGCCTGTTGATTAACTTTTATTCAAATTTCATTTATTTGTTATATTTGTACAGAGCCCCTCCTAGTAAGCTTTGGTTTCTTTAATAGGGGTCCTCCCAATGTACAGTATATCTTTTTATTGCATTCATTAATTAATTATTATGTTTTTAATGGAAAAATAAATTGATATGGATTGAAAAATTGAAAAATATGTCAATGTACTGTACATGAACATAAAATACTTGTATCCATAAAGCTGCTTGTTGTATATACATTGTATGTGGCTAATTACCTCAGTACATGATTTTTCAAGAATTAGATGAGGTGTAGTTGTACACGGAGGTAATCAAAATAAAAGATAACGGATGCTTTCGCACAAAAATGCCCTGATGAAGCTCATACTAAAAAGTTTTTTTTAAGAGGTTATGAAGGCAATGCTAATCCATGTAGGTACATGTACCGATAAGCATATCCTAAAACGGATGATATGGAACGAACTCCTTTTGAATGATGATTGATCAAGCTATTTTAATTTTGATAAACATTCAGTTACATGTATACAATTGAAATATAAAGATATTAGGCATAGTTTTGGGAAAAGACTTTTTTTATTATTTGAAGAACTATTAAATTCCTTATCAAAGTACCTTTGCTATTTACTTTCCTCAACCATGTCAACAAGTTACATAGTGCTTTATTCAAGTACAATACATTTTACATGTGCTTACTGTAAAACCGTCTTTTATCTTTATTTCATTTTAGATTCTCAATATGGAACACAATGATGGGTACCTCTCTCCTAAGCATGCCCTGGGCCTTACAACAAGCTGGCTTTGCTATGGGTCTAGGTCTAATGCTCTTCATGGCAGCTCTAGCTATGTATACATGTTACAGGGTTATCCAGTCTGTTGAAAGACAAGGTAAGGGCTGATTGCCGTTTGATCCAATGCCAATTTGTAAAGTATTTAGCTTTCCTGAGGATGCCCTGCCGTACAACAAGCTGGCTTTGCTATGGGTCTAGGTCTAATGCTCTTCATGGCAGCTCTAGCTATGTATACATGTTACAGGGTTATCCAGTCTGTTGAAAGACAAGGTAAGGACTGATTGCCATTTGATCCAATGCCAATTTGTAAAGTATTTAGCTTTCCTGAGGATGCCCTGCCGTACAACAAGCTGGCTTTGCTATGGGTCTAGGTCTAATGCTCTTCATGGCAGCTCTAGCTATGTATACATGTTACAGGGTTATCCAGTCTGTTGAAAGACAAGGTAAGGACTGATTGCCGTTTGATCCAATGCCCATTTACATAGTTTTCCTGAGGATGACATGGGCCTTACATCAAGCTGGCATTGCTATGGATCTAGGGGTTGTTTGACATCCAAGAGAGGGAGCGTTAGTTGCCCCCTCTTGGTCTCTCTTTTTATATAACCTTTCACATCTTCTCTACTTAAAGGCATCGTTTAACAATGTTAAATTTGAGATGTATGGCCCTAGGTGTTATCAGTGTCTGTGATATGGTGTAATATTGGAGCCCTAATAAAAATGCGCTTCAAAATGATAATGAAGTGCCTCAAAAAAGTAAAAATCTTTGAGTGACCGGTTTTACCATACTCATTTTCCCCAATAGACTGTAGTGTTATAAAAACTATTAGGAAAACGAAAAATGAAATTTTGATTTCCAATCATAAATATCTTGATAATCAGACAGGCGATCGGCTTGTAAAAGTCAAGGGATTCCTGACTGACCTAAAGGTTTATGATTATGATTGCAGCATGAGCTAAATTCAGGATTTTGTTTCAGAATCTGAGGCAATGTTACTGAGTCACTTTAAAGCCATTCAGTCCCTTTCACTCTGTATTATTGACCCCTCCTTTGACCTTCACCTCTCTATTCTCCTCAGAGTCATCAGGGAAGCTGATAGAGTTCTCTGACGTGTGTCGTGATTACCTTGGTCGTTGGGGCGAGTACATCAGCGTCTTCTTCTCTCTGTCTGCTCTGCTGGGGGCGATGATCGTCTACTGGGTGCTCATGTCAAACTTCTTATACAGTACTGTCACATTTATCTTTGGTAAGCATTGCAGGATAGAATAGAGTAATTTCTTGAGCCTTTCATGCAGTTTGTGATAATTTCATGAGATGTTTTTGAAACTGCCAATATTTTCTTGGCAGGGAGGGGGAAGGGGGGGGGGTCTATGATATTTACTAGGGGTCATGATCGTCTACTACAGTGTACATGTAGGTGCTCATGTCAAAGTTATATTTGGTTAGCACCGCAGGCTAGAATAGAGAATTCTGTTTAGCCTTAAATGCAGTATGTGATAATTTTGCAAACAGTTTTTTGAAACTACCAGGATTTTCTTGGAAGGGGGGGGGGGGGGGAGGAGGGCTATGATATTTACCGCTGGCCATGATCGTCTATTGGGTGCTCATGTCCAACTTTTATTTGGTTAGCACCGCAGGCTAGAACAGAGAATTCTGTTTAGTCTTACATGCACTATACGTGATAAGTTTACAAACAGTTTTCAAAACTACCAATATTTTCTTGGCAGGGAGGGGGAAGGGGGGGGGGGGTCTATGATATTTACTAGGGGTCATGATCGTCTACTACAGTGTAGGTGCTCATGTCAAAGTTTTATTTGGTTAGCACCGCAGGCTAGAATAGAGAAATCTGTATAGCCTTACATGCAGTATGTGATAATTTTACAAGCAGTTTTCGAAACTCCCAGGATTTTCTTGGGGGGGGGGGGGGGGCTATGATATTTACTTGGGGCCATGATTGTCTATTGGGTGCTCATGTCAAACTTCATATACAGTAACATTCATTGGCTAGGCACCACAGGATAAAATAAGGAAATACATTTAGCCTTTGATATGATATGTGAGAATTTCATGAGTTGTTCTAAAGATTGCTAATATGTTTGCACAGAATTAAAATATTTATCTACTCAGGGGAGATAATACATTGTACATCTTGTTTCGTTTCAATCAGCAACATTGATGATATTCTGTTTTTGTTTTGTTTATGCTTTTATTCTTCCTCAATATAGTCTTTGATCTTTTAGTTGTATTGATAAATATTGCAATTTTAATTATTTTTTCCTGTTCGTTAAAGTTCTCAAACAATGATTTCACTTACAAGTTTTCTATGGGAGACATTCAGTCTAGAAAAATCACTCCTATAAAGTCTTAGATAAAAAGTCACTAAAGTGGCGTTGTGGCGTGCGCCTGTAATCCAGCTAACAATGGAAGTGACAAACTGATTGAGCCGAGGACGCAGGTTCGAAACTGAGTCACGTCTTTCAGATGGTGACGTTACAGGTCGGTCCCCAGATGTAAATAATCATATCTGATTGATACACGTCTGTAAACACCCTATCACACACACACTTAAAAGCCATAGACTAACTCATTACAAGAAGTATTATTTATTCAGTTAATTGATTATCTCAATCGCAGCCTTCATTCCAGGTAATTTTACAGATTTATCAATTTGTTTTTCTTTTCTTTTCTTTTATGTTTTGTTTCCAGATGAGGTTAAAAATGTTGTACCTGAAGTGAATGGTACTGGAGGTTGTCCAGGTCATAGTTCAGTGCTCTGTCCCGGTCATCATGTCAATGGAACAGGGTACCTCGTACTTGGAGAAGTGACAGATAAAAGTAAGCTAGTTTCGAAGTACTGAAGACCAGGGGCGTGTTTCACAAAGACTAAGATCAACTTTAAGTTGGACTTAACTATGGCAGGCCATTCATGCCTCTGTTTGCTCTCACCATTGGTCTCTCAATTATGATCTTTAGATAATATTTTTTTCCTTCAATAATAAACTCAAAAAAGGTACATTCTGTAGGTTTGTGACCATGTTTGTAAGTCCCTTGAGATACCAATACCAGTAAATGGTGAGAGCAAACAGTGGCATGAACAGCCTGCCATAGTTAAGTCCAAATTATAGTTGATCTTAGTCTTTGTGAAACACTCCCCTGACATACTTGTATGCTCCAGTAACGGTTGCTCTGGCCTTTTTTATTCAAAGATGTAGGATGAGGGTTTAGGTTAAGGTAAAACATACATTAAAGATAATTTTACTTCATATTTCATTATCAGTATTATATACATTCAGTATGTAATTTCTATGAATAAAGACCCTCTGTCATTTTATAATAAAGTTTTATGTTTTTCTGTGTTTGGGAGAGAGAATAAAGAAAGGGAAATATAGCAGAAAAGGAGGAGGTTATGAAAGATAATGTTACTGTGTAACATAGAATGGAGCAAAACAAAAGGGAAAAAAGGGGTAAATGTTACATTAAAGATAATTTTACTTTATATTTCATTATCAGTATCATATGCATTCAGTATTTAATTTTTATGAATAAAGACCCTCTGTCGTTTTACAATAAAGTTTTATGTTTTTATTTTTTAGTGTCCAACTCAACCCCAGCTGAAGTGGTGTTGTTCCACCTGATCTGGACGGAAACGGGGACCGTGCCTCTCTTCCTCTGTATCCTTATCCTACCTCTTATTCATATCAAGTCACCAACATTCTTCACTAAATTCAATTCACTTGGTAAGTTAATTCATCTTTTTTTTTTTTAGATTTTTGACATTCTGCTAACTTTTACCATTTTATCACATCTTTTCTTTCCTTAATTATTTATTTTCTTCATTTTTGTCTCGCCTGCGTAGCAAAAAGCTAGACATAGGCGCCGCCTTTCCGGTGACGGCGGCGGCGTCAACATCAAAAATTTAACCTAATTTTTGATATAATTTTGAAAGTATAAGTTCTTAGTCAATGTAACTTGGACTATAGGGTTATCAAGTATCCCCAATCATGTGAGTAGAATTTCAGGTCACTAAGTTAAGGTCCAAGGTCATTTAAGGTCAACAAACTGAGACTCTTTTGTGGCATCAACATCAAGATTTTGAATTTTTAGCATATTTTCAAAACTGTTTGTTCAAATTCCATGAAACTTGTACCCAGGTTTATCAAGTATCACAAATCATATGACACAAATTCTAGGTCACAAGGTCAAAGGTCATTTTGGGTCAGTAGACTTGAATTATGTTTTCACAACTTAATATGAGAATTAATAAATAATTTTTTTTTTAATTAATTTGTTCATATTTCATTCAAGTTATCGATCCTGGTACAATTAATAATAAATATTCTTCTGATGATTCTTGTTCAATATTCACTTCAAAATGCTGATTATATTCAGAGGATTTCATTTTCTTGGTCTGCTAATGGGCTACCCTGCCTATAAATAATGTTCCAACCTCAATTTTTCATCATATCGAATTGAGTAATGCAGGCGAGACTGCCGAGAGCGTTTCCCTTGTTTAATTTTTTCCTGTTTATAGTTAGGATGTTTTTTATGCATGTTTTCTTCTTCTGGTAATTTTCCTTCTTTTCGAGTCCCTCATTTCATTTTAATATTCCCCTTTTCCCTCTATTTGCTTTATTTTCTTCTATTACATGTACAAATGTATTTCAATTATATCATTTTTTTCCCCCCTTGTCTTTGAATAATCTTTTTTATCAATCTTTCACAGTAACTTCTTCAAGGTTTATTCATACTTTAAAGTAGAATTACACCCTGAAAATAAGTTGATTATATAAAATTAAAAAAAGAACGAAGATATGAAAAGTTTGAGCCAAATTGGGTTAAAAATAAATGTACTAATGCAAAGGAAGGTTTTGTAGGACATCGTTTAATTTGTTCTTTGTCCTTTTTCTTCTCTTCTCCGACAGGAACACTGTCTGTGGCTTTTCTGTTAGTCTACATCTGCGTCACCGCAAGCCGTTGGGGAATCAATATAGATTTTGACCATCCAAGTAGCGACAATTATGTAGAATGTAAGTTTTTTATGTGAGCGAATTGTTAAACGTATACATGCACATGTAGTTATTCATTTTCTTTCTATTAATCTTTTAATCACAGTTATTACATATCATTTTAATGAAATTATCATTATACTTTATATGTTCACTGATATTGCTTTCATTATTTTGCATTTTACCATTTTTGTTTGGGAATAAAGAAGTCGTAGGAAGTGATGAAGCAAAACTTACTTACATGTGTATATCACATTTTTGATAAAAAATCCAGAACTAAGAGTATATATCTGAGTGTGTGCACTTTGCCATCTTACAAATGCTGACAACTTCTCTCATATTATCACTGCTTTTAGAAAGGCTGTAGAGAAATTTCATTTTAAAATTTTGTTCCAAGTCCATGCTTTATAGTTAACATCTTTTACAAGGCACAGAGGTGAAGGGGAGAGAGAGAGAGAGAGAGGGAGGGAGAGAGAGAGAGAGAGAGAGAGAGAGAGAGAGGAGAGGAGAGGAGAGGAGAGGAGAGGAGAGGAGAGGAGAGGAGAGGAGAGGAGAGGAGAGGAGAGAGAGAGAGAATGGCTTTATGATATGTATACATGTACTTTAACTAGCAGTTGAATTCTAAAGGCTTGTACATTTACTATGTAATTTCATTTTATGTTTATCTAATTTGGCAGATTATTTTCCACCAAATTTCAGCTCACTGATCGATGCAAAATATACCCATCATTATTCTCACTTATTTAACATAAATGTTGAAATATAGTTTTCGTTTTCTTTCTGCATTTAATGCTTTCAGCTTTATATTTATTTATTCACCAGTATGATTATATGCAATGCATCTTCTGTTTCCTGCAGTATTTCATTGGAGTTTCCCTTCAATGTCCGGTATGCTGGCGCTGGGGTATTTCATTCACAACGCGGTATCATCCATCATGCGCAATCAGGCTCATCCCGAGAATAATGTAAGGGTCGAGTCACGGTGCAGACATAGTACTACAAAGGTCTATAGATCTTGGTCCATATTCAATTCAATACTTCAGTACAAAATTTAAGCTTTTTACTTTAATAGTATTTGGCTTAGATAAAATACTTAGCCAATTTTGGTATTCAATTAAAACTTTTGGCTAAGCATTTTACCCTAAACTTAAGACAGCTCCCTACCAGACTTAAGCCAATTATTTGGAGGCCTTGATTGGCAGGCCTATGGTTTTCTCACGTAGTATTATAACCTAAGCACAATTATTGAGACGCGTTAATTGCGCATTACTTTTAATTGACCATGTGATGCCACAATGCTTATCAATAAGTATTTTACTTAGATTATTTTTCAGGTGAGTACAAGTCTAAAATGTGATTTGAATACAAGAAATAACCTCTTAGCTTAGCCATTTACTTAGTAAATTTTTTACTTATTCTAAGTATTGAATTGAATACCAGCCAAGGGGAGTGTTTCACAAAGACTAAGGTCGACTTAAGTTCAATTCATTGCAATGAGAAAAGTCTTTTAATTCATAAAGCATCAAGCAATACTGAGTAGAAATTTCATCACTTACCGGTATTATGAAAAATAATTGCATATTACACAGTATTTTGCCTGATTTTTCATAGCTTTGTGGAAATTCCACAATATCGCAATGTTTTTATCAAACTGGGGAACCCCAGAAAATAATGGAATATTCACAAGATTGCACAAGTATCTGTCCGATGTACTTTAATACCATCATTTAGCACATAAAACTACCTGGGTTTTTTTCTCCTCGAAAACTACACATTGAGTAGTTGTATGTGCATGTAGATTCATGTCCGTCAGTCAAGAGTATTTAAATGGATGGAAATGGATTTGGGTGGATTTTTAGTGGGCTTGGAATTTTCTCAGGAAAAAGACACATTGTCAGCTGCGGAACATTCAGGTTGCATTACTGTGTCATTCCATTTTCTGTCTCTTTTCATGTCACTATTTCGTTTCATTTCTATCTATCTTTCTCTGCCTGCGCTATCAATTCTTATGCATTATTTGTTTCGCTCATGTTTCCTCGATGTCTAGCAGAAATAGTCAAAAGTGGTATTGTATTTGAAAGGATTTCATGTACTCATAGCAACCCAGAAGCTATCGCTCCTGTAATTGGTTGCTTTCCTTGCCTCTATGCATGGTCACTTATTTGCTGCACATGCAATTTTGCACAAAGCAGTTGGCACCAATTGACAGAAGGATTGCTTTGTGCAACACAATGGCTTTTAATACAAAATTACCCATGTCCAGTGTGTGTGCCTTATAAATTTACACTATTATTATTATTAGCTTCATGGCAACCCTTTCAACTCCGTTGTATATGTATATACATTAATCTTCCACTGGAAACAATTAAATAATCTTCAAGTATCTGTTATATCCATCCCACGATAAAGACAATGTGGCGCAGGAAGATTATTTGTGTGGTATATAAAACGCTAAATACAGTCAAACCTGCTTTAGTGACCACCTGTCTACAAAGACCACATTTTTTGTTTCCCTTGAAAATGGTTTCTCATCAAAACAAGTACTTTAGGCACCTGTCTACAAAGACCACCTACCTATAAAGACCACTTTTCTTGTCTCCCTTGGGTGGTCTTTGTCGACAGGTTTCACTGTAGCAGCATTTTCCTCATCCATTATGCTACACTCTTCACACATCCTCATTCCTTAGATACTTTTGTAACGCTACACGAAATAGAATTTATCCATATAAGGGGCAACTACATTGTTTTAATGCTAGCTTTCATGTTAGTATACATATAAGGTACCAGTACATGCTTTTTCCATAACCTCCAACTATAGTTATCTCATGCTTAGTATTTAGCTGGTTAAATGCATCATCAGGCAATAGTTAAATTTAGGCTGCAAAGCAATGATTTTTTGTTCTAATTTTGCTATTGGTCATTGGCATCACATCAGCTTGACTCTATGCATTATATATGATTTATAGAATAATGAGATGCTGCATTATTTGTGACCATTGACATGTGTGTACAGCTGTTTAATACACCAAAATATATCAACTTAACTTTTTTTAATTGCACTTTTCATCTGCCACTATTCATTGAATATCCTCTTTATTTAAATCCAATGCAATTTTATGTTATTGCAATGTTCAAGTTTCTGCTTCATCGACCCACATGTATATTCCAAAATAATTTATATTTGACATCATTGATTTACATATTTTGAATATTTTCAAAATGGTTCGCGGATTGAAACATTCATGTGTTCATGAAAGAAATTGGAAAAATTACTGTGTTGGTTATGTGTGCATGAATGAAATTGATGTACCGGTACTGAAAAACAATGCAGATTGGCCGCCTTATGTAGATTTAGAGTGGGACTTCCATATTATAGCCAAGAATAAATAATTAAATAAATAAATTAATAAATAAATAAATAAATGAATACATTTTTAAAAAATGAATAAAATAATAATAATAATAAAAAAAAAAATTCTTTAAATTATTAAAAAAAATGTGTACTACTGAGGCACATATTTCTCCAGGTGTTTGGGCCACTTTAACAGTACCATATCACTTTAAAAAAAAAGATACCGTTCATGATCCTACCCCAATGCATTGGACGCTTTTTCATTGCCCCCCCCCCCCCCCCCACTTTCTACCACATCATAAAAACCCATGAAAACATAGAGAAATCGTAATTGAAGAATGAGCTACAGAAGAAATTGAAAGGAAATGTATTGCATGAGAGTAGTCCTTGCCGTTTGCTTCTCTTGTGGCTAACCTATTGTTCGTTCTCACTCCCTTGCTTTCTATCTGTCTGTTATTCATCTGCATGTGTTCTTCCCTTCCTATTCCTTCCTTCACTTGTCCTCCCTCTGGAATACGCAGTGTTCAGCCTGAACTTTCCTGCTCTGAGCGGGATATTAGCGCTCGGATATTTCATTCACAATTGTGTCTCTTCAATTTTACGGAATCAGAGTCATCCCGAGAACAACGTAAGTGGGGGCCTTCTTTTTAATTCTCTGACCTGACTGGAAGATAGATTTATAGATTGGATACATATATTTAAAAAAAGAAATTTCTGGAACTTCGGTCTTGATGTCTTATTGTCAGGGGAAAAAATATTTAAAATATTTCGGGGGCTACTTTTCAAGCTTGCTTGAATGAAAATAACTTTTTTAAATTTGTTTTGCATTGAACTCTATGCAAATTTTTAGGGGCTCTTTTGGTCATTTCGGGGGGCGAATTTGCCCAGAGCCCCTGTGTATTTTTTCCCTGTAATTTTCTATGGCTAGGGGTCCTCCCTGAGACCTCTTCTTCAACAGCGGAAGACAGTTTGCACGGGATTGTAAATGATAAATTGAGTGGGACCAGTGTGCCGTAAGTTTCCTTAAAAGTGGTCAAACCAATGCAGTGTTGGGAACACTGAAGAATCCCTACATGAGACTTTTTTAAATCGTTAACAAAAAATGTGGATGTATATGTAAAGTCCTTCTATATAAATGAATATTCGTTCAAAGTGAACCCTTAGACCTCGACACGTTTTTTTTTTTGGGGGGGGGGGGGGGGGTCTGCATATACTGCCCTAGGTTACATTTCCCTCACACGTTTTCATTACTGTCCCAAATTTCTGTAATTGTTTCCACTAATAAACTTCACAAGTCTTTCTGGATTTCTTGTCGGGGAAGGATTTTCGTCATTGATAGATATTAGTTATCACCTCAGTGCAGCAAATTTTCTTCTTCCCCTACTAAGTGTGGGAGGGATTTTATAAAAATGACAGTCATCTATTATTGTGAATGAATTTGCCTAATTTTTTTTTACAGGGAATGACAGAGACAAAAAAGAGATGTATTATACTTCTTCAAGTTTCATTGTATGACATTTAAGAAGCCTGCCAGAAAAAACAAAGATGAGACCATTTAGGATGGTACTATCACTTGAGTCCCTGATTTGTACATAAATAATAAGAACAAGTTGTAATTTACTTTCATGTTTTGGTTTATCGCAGGGTCGTGACTTGACAATCGCTTATTGTCTAGTGGCAGGAACGTACACCTTTGTGGCTGTGTTATTCTACATATCATTTCCTTGTCCAAAGTCCTGCATTTCAGATGTAAGTTATACTTTATGTCACTTCAACAAAAAAACTATGGTAATAATAGCTTTGTTATTTTATACAAAAAACTGAAGTCTTTCAGTAAACATTATATACATTTTGTATCTATTCGCTCTGTGAGGAAAGATGATGCCTGTTTAACAAGTACTAGTTTTGTTTTTGTATGTGAGAACAATTCAAGTTCTATCAAATGTAATGTACATGTAATGTTTGAAGAATATTCAACATAATAAATGTTCTCTAACTGATTTAGTTAGTAATTTTTAGGATGCATCGTCATCTGAGCTACTTTTGCTGTTCTCTTTGCCATTTCAATTTCAATTTAAACCCTTCTTACTTGATTTTGTTTGTATTCATTGTATTAAACTTTTGAAGAACTTACACGTACAACTATGGGATGTTTATGCCTTCATGGCAAAGCTAGCTTTTCCTGCTATTTTATTTAGTGATCTTCCACCCTCTGCCCTTTCATATCCTAATCCAGCCGTTCCATTTACAATGTATTACTCTATTCTCTTCATTGTGCCTAAGCCTAATTTCATGAAGAACCAGGGAATGTATTTGCCTTCATGGCAAGACTGTTCTGGCTGTTCCATCTACTGGCCCTATTCCCTCTGCCAATTCATATCTTACACTCATTCATTAGTACTACTGTACACCAGGGAGATGTATTTGCCTTCGCGACTAGGCTGTTCCATTTACTTTCCCCCCTCCCTCTGATCACTCATGCCTACCGTAATCAACGTTGTATTTACCACACTTCTTTGCTGCCGAAAAATTCAAAGTCGGGGGTGCGTCTTATACACAGTACAAAAAAAAGTTTCTATTTATACCCCTCCACCTGGCGCTATGCCTAGCAATGTCTCCCAGCTCAGTAATCAGTGTATTGACTCACCACTCGGAAACTAGAACAACACTCAAATTTGTCTGTCATCTTGGCTTGAAAGTAATCTTTCTGATAGATCTCAATATGTAGTTTATAATAATAATTCCTCCAATTGTGGTGTACCACAAGGTTGTATCCTAGGTCCTCTACTGTTTTTTAATTTACATTAATGATCTTACACATTCAACTGCACCTCGCAGTTAAATGAAAGGCCTTCCTACGTGGGTTTTTTAACACGGACCTGGCTTGCTGCCGACAGAGTCTGCAAAAAAAAAACCCTTAGTTACGGTAACTCGAACACTGTACTACTATGTTCCTTACTTCCTTTCATGTTACAGAATTTTTTGAAGAACTTTACACAGGTCAATGTATCTGCCTTCATGGCTAAGCTGTTCCATCTATTAATTCTATTCCATCTGTTCATTTAACTCCATTCCATAGAATTTCTTGAAGAACTTTCATCAAGGGGATGTGTTGGCCTTTACAGCAAGGCTGTTCCTGCTCTTCCAGATGGTAACCCTCTTCCCTCTGCTGGTCTATATCACCAGGGTCCAGCTCATGGATCAGCTGTTTGGTAATGCGTATCCCAGGTCAGTATCAAACCTAGACTACATATTTAGTACCAAACCTAGACTACATATTTAATACCAAACCTAGACTACATATCTTATACCAAACCTAGACTACATATTTAATACCAAAGCTAGACTACATATTTAATACCAAACCTAGACTAGCTATTTAGCACCAAACATAGTGTAGATATTTAGAATAAGCTGCTACACAGATCCTAGTCCTTAAAATACAAGTCCACTCCAAAAATAACTTACTTTCAAAAGAAGCAGATAAATGAGATAAAGCAATCAAAAAAAGTTTGAGCAAAATCGAATACCTAATAAGAAAGTTATGATTTTTTGAAAATGTATGTAAAACAATGGAACATACTTTTTCAAAAAAATCATAACTTTCTTATTAGTTATCTGATTTTGCTCAAACTTTTTTTGATTGGTTTGTCCGATTTTTCTGCTTCTATTGAAAGTAAGTTTTTTGGGGAGTGGACTTGTCCTTTAATACTTAATGGTTGATACTGCTGTTTAAACCGTTTTGAATAGAGTTCTGTTTTGTGCATACAATTACAAGCATTGGTAAAGTGTAGATAAATGATCTTGAAACTGCAGTATACTTGACTCTTTTATTCTTTTTCTTCTCCTGTATTCTCTTCAGCTGGAAACACATGGTAGTGTACAACCTCATCTTGGTGTGTATCTGTTGTCTCTTTGCAATCTACATACCTCACATTGGAAATATTATCAGGTAAGAAAAGAGCTAAAGATTAATTTGGATTGTTACATCAAAAATTGTATACCGTAATTAACGGTGTATAAACCGCCCTCATGTATTCACCGCACCCCTCTTTTTTTGACTCTGTCGGTAGCAAGCCAGGTCTGTGTTAAAAAACCCACACGGGAAGGCCTTTCATTTAACTGCGAGGTCCAGCTGAATGTGTAAGATCACTAACATAAATTAAAAAACAGTAGAGGACCTAGGATAGAACCTTGTGGTACGCCGTGTAATAGAAGAAAAATTGGAGCAATTATTATTATAAACTACATATTGAGATCTATCAGAAAGATTACTTTCAAACCAAGATGACAGACAAATTTGAGTGTTGTTCTAGTGTCCGAGTGCGGTTAATACAACGTTAATTACGGTACACATGATGCTGTAAACTGCCCCCCCCCCCAAAAAAAAAAGAAAGAATATCTAATATGTAAATAAAGGTCAGATAGAGATGGCACCAATGCCCCCTAAGCATGCCCATTTTTTTGTCTGTTGTAAGATGGAACAATGAGAAGCATACTATACATATTGTCATTTTATTTGCTGTGAACACATACCACACAAAAATGATACCAAACGATTCGGGATATAACACTCTTTCAAAACATGTATGATAACCTTTCGTTTATAGCTGACTTTTAGAATAAATGACAATTTTCTAAGTGTAAACTTTTTTTGGATTTCCTTTATCTTTTGAATTAGTATGAGACATGTCTTGTCTTTTATGTAAGCATTTCTTTACTGTCTTATAATACCTGTATTGGATAAAAGAATACAGTCTTAAAACAACTTGAAATTCATAAAGTTTACTTAGTTCATACTTCTCTGCTGACTTTGGCTAGCAAGAAAATATTGAATTACATCTAAATATGAGGACCAGAGGAGAACTAATTGCATGTTTCTCACTCATTTTACTCCCCCCTCCCTCCCCCTCCTCCCTCCACCATCCTCCCACCCAGGTACTCGGGAGCATTCTGTGGTATGGCCTACGTCTTCACTCTACCGGTGGTCATCTATCTTCTTTATACCAAGAGACAGGGTAAACTACGCTGGTATCACATAGCATTCCATTCTCTCTTCATCGTGGTAGGAGTCACCAACTTCATCTCTCAATTTCTTGTCTAAGATGGAAATAGAAAATGAAAAAAATGCACATTTTATCAACGGTCCAAAGAGAACTCTGTCTTCCAATGTCAATCTTGTAGCCATTATAAGTTCTTGGTCTATGATACGTGTGTTGTATTTGTAAGAAATTTGATTCTTGACAACATTTGTATTATTGAACTGAAGTCACTCTTTTTTTTCTCCTGATATGTTCAAATTGTATGTGCTATTTCAAATTACACTATTGCTCATAAAGTTGGAATACACTTTTTATGAAATGATTGTGACAATATATAGAGTATAAAGAGTCATAGAGGTTGATCTATAAGGTTCTTGGAAGATATAAGCGTATCTATCAAGAATAAACGATATTGTCGCTTCATGAAAAGAGGTAAGAAAGATTTATTCCAACTTTATGGGCCTCGGTGGATATATAACCTGTTCAGTACATACAGTTATATCTTAAATGTTTCAAAATACATTTAAATACATGGTGTCACCACAAACTGTGCTCAAATCTATCCTCTGCATAGTAGCCTTCAAAGATTACAGTAAAAAAAAATACTATTATTACTCAATCAGGGTTACTGCATGTAACTGCTCAAATCAACCCTACATCTACCTAATACTTGACCATATCTAGTTTTGTAAAGAAAAAACTGCTCTACAAATTAGTGCTGTAGTCAAACGTTTAACCGTCCGGTATCCGACCGCCAATGGCGGATTCCGTTTTCAATTGGACGGTTTAATTTTCCCGTTTTTTTTTTTTTTCTTTTTTCTTTTATAATTTTTTTTTTTTTTTTATAAATATTTTTTTAATTTTTTTTTATTTTTTTTATTTTTTTTAATTTTAAGTTTCGATTTATGCCCCTCCACCTGGCACTATGCCTGGCAATGTCTCCTAGCTCAGTAATCGGTGTGATGACTTACCACTTGGAAACTAGAACAACACTCCAATTTGTCTGTCATCTTGGTTTGAAAGTAATCTTTGTAATAGATCTCAATATATATTCATCCAAGTTTAAAGATAAACTCCAGTACTGGTAAAAAAAAAAAAAAAAATTCTCACAGAATCAAACGAAACTTACACTGAATGTTCAAGATTACAAATAAATGACATGTGCCAAACAATTTTGGAAGAAAATGTATACTGGCTGAGTAATAAGCATAGAAAGACAAGGAAATCAAGGTAGTACTAGCCCCGACACGATGTGTGTTGTCCCATATATAGCTTTCTATGTGAGTGCTTGTTACTTTACCAAGACTCGGTCAAATTTATTATGATTTTGATGACTCCAGAACCTTGCAGTGCACACCAATACTTATATGCTACATGATCAACTGTTTCTGATCCTTTCACACGTTTTCTTTCACAATGCAATCGCATTACCAGTACTAAAGTTTATCTTTAACACATGGTGTACCACAAGGTTCTATCCTAGGTCCTCTACTGTTTTTAATTTAAATTAATGATCTTACACATTATTCTAAAACGACATTGTTACTATTATTTGTGACTAGTTCACAAGCACAAATCGGCTTCTTCAGTTAAATCACCTTCCTGCTTTTTCACACGGCCAAAAAAAAAAAAAAAAAATTATTTTTTTTATTTTTATAAATCGTTTAACCGAAAACCGTCCGGTTTTGACTGGCGGTTAAACGGAATTGGAGATATCCGTGACGTTACAGCACTACTAAAAATAATAGTAAAGTGGTTTCTTTTCTTCTATGATATGTATTATTATATGAGGATATTTTGTCTCTTATAACTGGGTATAAGATCTCAATCATGATATACATGTTAAGGAAATAAAAGAGCTTGAAGATTGGTGGATGTTACCAGGCAAGGCTTATGTTTTCAGTGCAGATATATTTCCTCATAATAAGTGACACACTTAATATGTATAAACAATATCGGCATTGTCAAAATACTGCCTGTACAGTGTAATTAAAATATAGACATGTATTCTAATATTGGCTTATTACGTCTTTGACTTCTAATATTATGGCAAAATATATTCAAGTTAAAAAGCAATTGAAATTTCTTTAGAGAAATATGCCACTAGGCATAAATTGTTTCTATTTTTCATCTTGATATCCCCAACAATTTGGATGGAGATTTCATCATAGCCCCCCAAACGTTTGATAACATATTTAAAGATGAAGTTGAATACTGGTCATGTGATAACATTGTAGAAGAAACTATCTGGAAGCAATGTACATACACCCCAGGGAGCAGAGAATGTATACTATCATTAGCAATTGAATCCAATGACCGGGTAATAATAATTACAATGTAAAGTGCTTAGAAACTATATAAATGTGACTGTTATAATAAGTACATTCATACAAATTGTAATACACTGTGTTGCTGTGGATTCATCTGAATTATCTAAATGTTAAAGCACATTTTTACTAGTTTACAGGAGGGATTAGACCACCCTGCAAGGTCACTGACAGGTGGTTATCTCATCAAATCAGCTCTCACTTAACATAAGAAAAAGAGGATCATGGGGGACCAATGGTCACCGATTAGGCATTGTTTGCTATATAGAGGGCGCAAGTAGCTATATGTAGTGCAGTGGGGCTTTAAGGTAATGACTAGATCCTACTTAGAGTCACATACACTCCACACAAGAATATTTATATGGGACTACATGCATGTGAGTTGCTTTTCATTTTTTGGTCCAAACTTTTTTTAGCTATTTATTGTCCGAGTTAGAATATGATAGCCTCTTGATATTCTCCCAAACTGATTTGAAAAAAATGAGATGGCTCACTAATCAGTTTCAAACTTTCCAATAATTCAAACTTCTCTTGAATTATCTAGTTATCCATACATGTATAGTCATCATTAAACAGCACCGGTAGGTGGAAATGGATTTTGATTTCTTTAAATTATTGTCAGGTCTGTGGAATAATAACAAGTTCAGAAAGTGTGTGTCTTATTATATAACCAGTATTACACATGTCTGGTATTCATAGAGCATATGGTCAAGTGGAGCAGTACAGGAGTAAAATACATTTTTTCTTCTAAATGTATGAATAATTTCATAATGTATTTTTACATTTTTGTTGTACATATATGTAGGGTGAAGTTTAGTGATGATGATGAATTACAATGAACATGTTTGTTTTAAGACTCTAAATTTCAATGAAGGCCTACAGCATAAACATGTGCTTTTCGTAATGTGAATTACTATTACTGTTGGTAGTCAATTTGTCAACATTTGTCTGAATTGACTAATCTCACCTATTATTTTCTGTGCTTATATAACAAAACTATAGTCAAGATAGTAATGTACTGTTTATATATCATTTACTCTTTTTTTTGTTCAAATATATAAGTACAAGGTGCTCGTCATGTATGTTTACTCTATTTTACATGTGTAGAAGAAATAGTGCAATAAAAATTTCTCTTTTTAAAGAAAATGTACTTAATACTACCAAGGACCATAACTTAAAGACAATACTAAGTTTATATTGTTTATCTATTTTTATTCTAAATAGCTCTGTTTCTTCAGTATGCACAAATAAACAGTATGTATATAAATGAAATTGTTCATAACAAGAATAAACCAAAAAGGTGATTTATTTATTTCAAGCAGTAACCCTTCTCTAGATCAATAGTTCATAATCCAGGGCAATTCTATTCTGCGCACAACATTTAATTATTTAGGGCTCCTATATAGAGAAGAAAGAAAAAGCAAGGAATTATTTATTTTCCATTTTGTGTGTGTAAATATTTAGTGATTAATAGTGTGGAAAGTACCGTTATGAAGATGGGCTAACCTCTATTTTGTCATCAAATTGGCATCAAAATATACCTATGATACTATTTAAATTGCTCATTACCGGTAGACCAGAATCTGGCTGGTTCTTATTTTTATCTCTTTTACCGGTACCTATACACTTGCTACAAACTGACGAAGATGTCGGGATCAACAAATTCATACAATGCATCCCCGGCTATGTCTGTATGGCCCAGTCTAAGAACCGCGGGTGTACACATTTGTGATTTACGCCATCTTCAGTTGGTAGGGGAGACCGCATGTACATTCGGGCAGGCAAATTGTTGATTAGGTGCTCATTAGAAACCGAAAGGGCAACCAGGTACATATATTTGAACAAACACATCTAAAGTATGTGTGTGTCTCACACCAATATTTATCTTCAGAGATCAGCAATTAAAGAAACTTCTGAAGATCAAACATGAATATGAAAGATATCATGGAATTGCTGTAGTCTCAAATCTACAAACTCAATTATCTGAGTTTGACTGCTCCACTTTATCTTACTCCCAGCTAGTTTACCATCAAATGTTAAAGATAAACTTGAGTTCTGGTAATGCGATTGCATCGTGAAAGAAAAGGTGTGGAATGGATCAGAAAAGTTGATCATATAGCATGTAAGTAATGGTGTGTAATGCAAGGTTCTGTAGTCATCAAAATCATCATAAATTTGGCAGAGTCTTGGTTAAGTAACAATCACTAACACAGAAAGATGTATATGGGACAACACACATGGTGTCGGGGCTAGTACTACCCTGATTTCCTTATCTTTCTATGCTCATTACTCAGCCAGTAAACATTTTCTTCCAAAATTGTTTGGCACATGACATTTATTTATAATCTTCAACATTCAGTGTAAGTTTCGTTAGATTCTGTGAGAATTCTTTTTCTTTTTTTACCAGAACTCAAGTTTATCTTTAATTTTATACCTACAATTCTGCTCCTCCAAATGTCCATCCTGACCATATTATATTGGTACAGGGCATTTCAAAAGATAGCACTAGAACTTTGGAAAAAACACCCACAAAACTTAAGGAATATCACTCAGTTAGATTAATTTAAATCTGAGCTGAAAACACTTGTTCTTGAATGTATAATCTAAGGTTTAGTGACACTAATGCAGTGATGTTCTAACCATAGGTGCGTGTTCTAACATACATAGAGACCATGTTGGTAATTTATTGAGAAGATTTACATTTACGATGATGTAAACTTGAAATAATTATTTCGTTGATTCTTGATGATCATTGTTGTACTTATGCATTTTATTATTTGTTGCATTTCCTTGCCTGAATATGAAAAGAATATCCAATTCACAATATCAGAAACTTTCTCTCTTGGCTATTATCTTGTGGTACTTAAAGATTCAAGGAAGATTTATTTGCTTTATTGTACTTTCCTAAAATGTCATCTAACTCAACTTGGTATATACCCTGTACCTGTGACAAAGGGTCATGTAGCAAAGACTAAGACAACTAACAACTAAAGATAATATGTGACCGAAAGTCGCAATCAAAGTTCAGAGATAATTGTAAATACTGAAGAAAGATGGGCAGTTGACTCTGTGTGTGTGTTGGACTGTTGGTAGCATTCATGTTCTATTGTTCTTGTGAACAAAAGTGTATGCAACATCATTGTGAAATAATTAGATTTGAAATGAATTTGCTGTACTGGAAGTAGTATGGGAGACATAAGTGCCAGTTCTACACTCAAACATTAATTTTCTACATGTGTGAGTATATTAAAAGCATACCAATTTGA